CTATTATAGGTCGTATAGATACAGGTAATTACAAAATTAATGATGATTTGTAAAATATTATATTTCAATTTGAAATTATTTCAGTTCTAATTTATTATAAACATCTATATTTTATATTTTTAGCACAATGGTTTTTAATTTTAATTATTTTCGTATTTGATGTTTGTACATAAAAATGTATTTGAAAATATTCTCGGCAAAAATATAAAAATTATAGGTAGGGTAACAATTTCTTATTTTAATAATGAAGATTTTTCTCATTTTCGGACAGGGCAGGAAAATTGCTAGTTAGTTGATGTTTCCGGACGGTGATGCTAAAGCGCAATGAACAATAATGAAACTCTGATCGTTTTGTTATTATTGTATATTGTTATGTAATCATCGCGTAAAGATAGACAAAAGGATGACGGTTGGATGGTGGCGAACCGTCATTAATGTTAGCTTCAATATATAGAACTATTTTGTAAAGTTAAAGCTCAGCTCCGATTTAATTACATTTGTGGTGTAATATAGATGAGAAACAATTAACGACCTTACTATTTATTATTGTTATTAGCTATTGTTTTAGTTCTTATAATTCCGATGATGAATTAGAAAATACGAAACAACTAGGTACTAAATCTTGCGCACGCACGTTGCTAGTAGCAAATTAATTCAAAATAAAATATTTCATATTTTTCTCTCATTTAATATTTGACCAAGGAGCGAATTATAAATATAATGATTAAATAACCCGACCAAAATAATGGTTCAGATGTCGTCGTATAAGGTAGTATAACGTCATAGCACAATAATAACACACAAAATTAACATTTATAGTTTATCCCCATTGGCGTGTTTATAGCTTTTTGGCGGTACCTCCCTATACCATCACCACCCTCCCCCTCCCTACATACAACCCATCGCCTACACTGTTGCCAAACAATATTTCAAAGCATTCCATTTAATATAAGATCACCATTATCACGTGATTTAACCAGCGCCTCTATAAATCTTGCCACCGGGCACAGGTGATCCACTGGAATGCTACCCTATGAGGCCATGAATACAAACGACAGCGCAATATTTATACGACGGGCATTAAAATGTTTCGTGCAGGTCTCGACTGTTGATCGCCTATATTATATGTAGCTGGGTGTTTGGTGCAATGTCGTTATTTTTTCTAATATCTTTAAATATAGCTTCGTAAGTAAAAATGTTTTTAGTGGATCCTGATTAATTTGATGATATTAGATTCTGATATCAAGAGACGAATGTATTGATTTTACAATATTGTATATTTATTTATTTATTTATTTTTTGTGTTTCTGTCATCACGTTTTGGGACAGTAAAAGTGCTTCGATTTTCTTCAACATTTTTTCCAGCATCTCTGCCGGTAGGAAAGTGAATCTAGTTGGTACTTTAGGGGGTCATAATAACCAATTGTCTTCAAAAGTGGCAGGAAAAACAAACAAAAAATTAAGGAAAAACTGGCATTTTTACGGAAATCCGTTTTCGACAAAATCGATATTGGTTTTTGATGTAACTTTAAAAAAAAATGTCTTGGATAAATAAAATGTTCACTGAATGTTTATATTCGAATTTTCTATAAACCATACAATTTTAAAAATATTTTGACTCGTATTAAACTATTTATAGGCATATGAAATGTTCGATTATTATTTGTTTTTATTTAACTAATGTCGATAAAAAATGTTTCGCTCGGTCAAACAGCTTGAAAATCTAATACAAAGCTCCTGATATATATTCACAATATCAGTTGAAAATATTAAAAATACATAGGCATAATATTTTTTTATAAGCATTTTCAAATTTTTACAAAATTCATGTCATTCAAAATTTACAAATAATTATAGTTTTAATGTTTTTAAATTTACAACTCTTATAGCTAAGGGTTCAAAATATAAATCAAAGTTCTAGGGTAGGTTTTTCTGTAACCAAAAAATCTAAAAATACACAAACATAGTTTTTTTTTTTAGTTTTTATATGTTCAAATGTGGACGGATTTACATGTTAAATGACCAAGAATAATGATTTATGTTATTTTGTTGTAAATTAAAAATACTATTCATGGGTACTTGAAACTTTTAAAGTATATTATTATATTTTATATACACAATGATTTTCAAATGAATTTTTTTAGGTAAAAATGATTTTAATCTACAGCGTAGTACTAATGCTTAAACTAGTAAAATAAATTACTTCATTCACATTAATATCATCAAATATACTAAATTACTAAGTTATTATATAGACTGACAGACCTTCGTCGCTCAGAATTGTTTTTCGTATACATTTTTTATATCATTGAGTTCAAATTTAACACCATCCATAACAGTGATCCACTTTTAACCTACTATGTATAGCAGAGTGGCATCTACCTAACAGTATTTTTTTTAATTTTAATTTTTTTTTTTATTGTTTTTATCGCATTAATCAAGTTTTTAAAACGTTTTCCACAATTTATTTTTAAAGAGAACGTAAATATTGTAGCAGAACATTTATTGTTAAAATAAAAACCCAAATATAGAGCACATAGTTTTCAGTTGTTTTAGAGCAATTATTTTTAATATATATATATGATTAGTGGACCGAGTAAGACGTTCGTCGAATGTTATTCATAAATATTTAGTTTTTAGTGAAATGGGTATTTGTATAATTTTAAAGGTTGCATTTGAAAAATGACTATTTACTGATAAAAAAGTTGTATACAGTTTTAGTTTCATTAACTTAGAAGCGTAATTTCGTATACCAATCGCCCAGGTTTAAATGTGACAGTAGGACATACTGGGTCATATACTTGGATCTTTATGTGGTTGTAATCTCATACAGATCTCCTACTTTATTGTCAGCATTCCTAGTCTGCGATGAGTATGTTATTTATAAAAGTTAGTTTATCGGAATTCACAGAAGTACAATAATTATGATAATAATAGAAAAAAGGAACCATGGTTGATCCTTGAGAAACACCACCAGGCGTTGTATTGTAGCTACGTGGGAAATATCTAATTTATCGTGAGTTGTAATAGGGTTCGTTCAGTCAAATAGGATTTAATTATTAAATAATACGAGAGGCAAGATTCATTTTATTTGAAAAATGAGACATTGGTGTCATATGCGATCGAAAGGTCTAGACAAGCAGCTGTGCAATGTTCTTTACTTTTGAGAGCTGTCGCCATTTTATACGTGAGTCAATGTACATCCGACAATATAATAATGTTTTCTAAACGGAAAACCTTACACTCTTTAGATAGATTTCATATAGCTGTGAAAACGAGGCCAGTTCCGTGATTTAAAAAAAGCGACAAGACTTCTGTGGAAGCCGAACAGCAAAATCGAGCTGTCAAAGTGTTTCCGTGTTTTATTGGTAATCCGCTCGTAAAACTGTATAGTCGCCAATCTACAATATTATTTTCTTTTGTGTTTTCGTTAAAATGCTATCATCTTAGTAGAGTTTTATCCAGTACTTTATCAGATATGATGTTTTCATTGATTTGGGATTAATGTATGACCATGTGTTTATATCTTATACTTTGTAGAGTATATACATGAATTAAGTAGATGGTATATGTAACAAAAGAAAATAAAAATCCTCGAGGAATTGTAATGTTTTTCGTAGAAACATAAGTCTTGCAATCCAAAAAAAATACACAAATACATTTCTTTTGAGATTGTGATGTAAATTTTTAATAAATAATTTAGTTCAAATATGCTTGAAATATTTAAATTCAAATCGTTTATTAATTTTTTTTTTTTATGTTTTTAACTATTTAATTTGTTATGATAACGAGTCAACGAAAACAATTTTTTATGAATGATCTAATGTAAAAATAGTTTGTTGGGGGTGTGGGGGCAATGCCCCCACGGGTCTGTTTATCATCAAATATTTGAACCCCCCTTAATATTTCACAAGATCTCCGCCTATGAGTAAACCACCAACAGCTGGTCTCATCCACCGCATTAGATGTTGCACATCAAAAAAACTAAATAATTTTGTGATATTAGATATCTATTATAAAACTGTAACAACGTTTTTTTTCAAACGAAGCTAGTTCATTTTTTATATTGTTTTAGTATTTAAGTTGTTATACATTACACTCCAATACAGTCCGACGCCTGACGCGGTAATGAATCTCCAACTTCTGCGTCGGCAAGTGACGTACATATTAAAAATCTGGTGTCCGACACAGCCGAAAAGTTATGTTATAAGTTATAAGTCTTAATGTATATTATTACAAACACGAAGCGTAATTGGATCATTCCACTCGATTTGTTTGTTTGTTTTTTTTAATTCTTTTTAATGGGCCAATATAAAATAGCTATACAGGCATAAGAAATTGGAACGAAATATAAACATTTTAATGGCAAAACGCTCGTCACACACAAACTTGCGGTATAAAATTACCCATTTGTAATCAAAGTACACTGTATACAGTAAGAATTTTCACTACAGCAAAATTTTTAACGATACCATTTTTTTTTAATGACCAAAGCACACGTATATCATGATTACGCAACACACAGCGAAGCTTATTTTTATTTCTGTTGGTTGCTTTTATTGTTTGTAACGTAAGCACGATGTGCTCCGAAATATTATAGCTGTTGAAAACCGTTGTTAAAAATAACGAAATGATCATTTTGGAATTTTGTGCCCCATTTTATATTTTTAAATTGGCATTTATAAAAAAAAATGAACATTTCGGTGTAAATGCGATCGCTGAAAATATAAAATTTTGTACAAATATAATGCAAACGTTATTTTGCTTCTATTTTAATAGATTAAAATATAACAATTGAGCCCGTCATTCAATATTGTATATTAAAAAAACCGCTATCATTATGAAATTTGTTTTTATTTTGGAGTAAAAAATAAATATTACACCTACTCAAAATCAAACTGCCGCAGTATTAAATAACAAATAGTTAACTAATAATGTATATTGATAAATTAGTAATTAATAATTATTATTATAAGATGTGTTCGATTATTCTGTTTCAGATTCGAGTGACACGAGAACGTATAGAAAACACGGAGCTCAATACAGAATGAAAACGAATATTGCATGTTACTATACATAAACGTAGTCAAAATACAATACTATATAATATTATAGATGTTAAATAAATATGTTAAAATTAATAAGATTATATTAAGTTATCTATCGTAAGTCAAATTATTTTACCACTTTGTTGCTTTCGTTTTAAATCGTATGATATTTTTTAAAATACCAATACTTTAGAATCTATCAAAACGTATTGATGTACGTATAAATCCTAATTCAAAGAACATTTTCAGATACCTATTAATTTTGTTGATGTAAATAAAAACTCGATTGTATACAATACAAAATGTTTAAATATAATAACCTTAAATTATAAATATCGTGTATAAGTACCTACTATATATATAAAGTATAAACACACATTATACATATTAATAACATTATGTAATGTGTAATATTTTCAATGCTATACAAAATTAATATATAATTAATTACAATTTCATACAATGGATAAAAATTAATGTTCAGAAATCTTAAATACTGCCAAATAATAGTTTTTACATCAGTCTTCTCATTATTTTTTATGCATGTTCACCCAAATTCATAATTAAAATTATGTCTTGAACCACCAAACTCACTTATTATACCGATAGAAAATGAATACTCTTTAAAATGTAAGTGCTCAAAATCTAACAATTTGTAATTTGTTATTTATTGTGAAATTATCATACTCATTAAGGATATTATCAAATGTACGTACCTATTCTATAATAAACATTTACATATTAACATATAATATAGTAATTTATAATACTTGTGTACGTCTATTATACCTACACTATATTTACTGACGTTGCGAGTGGAAATAATAAATAAAAATGAATATATTCTCGTAGTCTGTCACATGATTCGGGAAATAAGATCAAAGATGTTTGAGCAGTTCCCGATGCAAAAAAAAAATAGCTTGCACACAAGTATTTTCTCACCATGTTGTATTCACGGATCGTTATTGTCTTTTGGAGAAAGTCAAAAACATCTTTAACGTAGTAAACGAGACCACCGGTATAATATGTGGTTCAAATTGGTTGCTACATTACATAAATAGTACATAAGTATAAAATACAAATATTAAATATTGAACAATCTGAAGTGTGTCAACAACAGTCAAACATGTGAACATACACACAACCATGTAAAAGCGTGTATACGCAATTTATTTAAACTCTAAAATGACGATACTTTGGTACCTTGTTAAACATAAACAAAATATATTACACTTAGAGTAGTTAACTTATGGCTTTATAAAATACACCTACTCAATTCTTTTGGATGGCAAAAAACCGTTTTTTCTTTCAACTCTGTCAGAGTTGATTCTACTCCTCGGGGTGATCGCGACGAGGAGGACGCCTGCAACAGTGACACAAACATTGTTACTATTAATACTTCCATAAATAAAATATATTTTGTTTCTTTTCGTATTATGTAAGTAAGTGATGACTACAGCATTTACAGACATATTAAATAAATAAGTATAATTAATAACCACACACCCAGAATCTCATGCTTGAAACAATAACAGGTACATATTATTACCTACATATTATTTATATGCACCTACATGAACCTCTTATTTAAATCTTTAAATCATAGGAAAACATACATGTATAATATAACATAAATTTATCACTCCTCAATTATGAGGATGCTACATCCGTAATGTTGTCTCCATCTTACTAGTGAGTAACATACTAAATTTAAGCTCAGAAGTTCACCTTTATTATCTAATTTAAAAATTAGAGTGATCAACCAATTATAAAACTCAATGGTAAGAACATTATATTATATATTCGTACGTCGATTTTTTACGATAATTCAATTATTTAGTGAGTTTTGAGTACATAAAATAGGTAAAAACATAAAAATGCTCATAACTCACTAGCTGAAAAACTTAATTATCGTAAAAAACCGACGCACAAATACAGATAATAATATTCTTACTATTAAGTTTTATATTAAGTTGATTCACTCTAATTTTAAAACTAACGAAGCTAAACGTGAACTGCTGAGAGTAAATTGTCTATGTTACGCACTAGCAAGACGGAGACTACAAAGCGAGGTATCTGATAATTAATAAAAATAATATGAATGTCAGCCACAGTTGGCAACTTACTACACATCCCATACGGTAAGATTATTTATGAATTCGGAAAACCGGAATACCTTTTATATATTATTATAGACACATTTTATCACAAAAAGTTCTAGTTCATTTAGTCAATATTATTTTAAATATTTCTACAGCATTAAGAATTATGTTTACAATGCCAATACACACAGATTGAAGCTAAAAGAAGTTTTTTGAAAATAGAAATAATTAAAAAATAGTTACGGACTACAATAGCTCAAAAAGACTTTCCAGCCCTAAAATTATGTCTGTCAATTGAAAAGAAATGTTGCAAAATCTGCAGGACTGCACTATTACGGTGATTTAATGGTAATATATTCGAAGTAATGAAAAATTAATTATATATAGATTTTTTTATTCGTCTCTTTGCTTTTAAAATAAAATTATAAATTTAATAAATAATTCAAATACATGAATCATTTAATTGTTTGTACTTAACCGTAAAATTAAAAAAGTAATACAAACTGATAATTTATGTGTACATTTTTAAATGTAACAGATATTATTATCCTTTGGTAGTTTTCAAAACACTATGCACTAAAAATAATGAACACAGTATTTGAAAGGTGTGTTTTAATAAGTGCAGAACTGTGAGACGTACATACTAACGTTCTAAAATAATTATAACATATTTGATTCAAATTATTATTATAAAAAGGAATAATAATGTGTTTTTAACATTTAACTGTAGATTAGGATGAAAAGCATATCAATAATATTCTACTTGACAAATCCTAAAAACAACCATGAGAGTTACCTTTACACAATTCCTAATAATATTAATATAAATTACTTATAGTTGTTAATCCTCGCAGCGAACATATTATTAAACAAAATATTTATAAAGATAAACAAATTATTTATCAATTTACATTCCTAAATAGGTCTTGAAAATTGCCGGTTATTAAATAATAAATCGTAATATGCTTAGGATGCTACTCCTCACTTCGCCTCTATTAATTTTTCGAACACGGATCGAGTCAAATTCCTCACAAGGTGCTCACTTTTACAACTCAGTTATGAACAACTCAAGTTAGTTTAAAATGTTTAAATAATAAAATATTTTATTTACTCATGACTCATGAGTCATAACTGTTATTATTTCTTATCGTCTCACAGTCATATAACCTGTGTAATTTCAAGGTAGATATACGATATAACACAATAAGTGCCTAAAAGTCCTACATCATATTTAATTTAAAAATCTTAATCGATTTTAAATAACCAATAATATGAATTAAACAAAAAACGTTTCAAATTGGTTTAGAAATTTTAAAAAGTATCTACTTTTCAGACAATTATTTAAACCCTGTAATTATTAGGTAAGTAATTGTATTTTGAGCTTAACGAAGTATTGTTATTTGTTTTAAATATTTTTTTATATCGCCAATATATAAAACATATTAAGTAATTATGGCATTCATTTTACATCTCTCTTGTAACTTGTTACACCACATACAGTTTTAAGATTTAGGAGAAATTTAGATTAAAAATCATTATAATATGACAGTATGTTTAATGTTCGTAATAAAATTACCAACTCTGACCGGTAGATCGTTAACTTTTTAAATGATACAAGGCCGTAACTGGAAAAAAATACCGGGGGGGTCTAACATTTTTTCTAGGTATAGTTTTAGTATAGTTAAACAATATTCACCGCTAAAATGTTTCTACTTTTAAAAATTTCGGGGGGGTCCGGACTCCTGGACCCCCCCACCAGTTACGGCCTTGAAATGATAGTAGTTGGTGACAATAGTTATTTATTCCATTTTCAAAGGACAAAATAATTTATAGGTACCTGTATTTTCAGTTGTAAAATACATCGAAATTACTCAACACATATTTAAATGATAGGTTCATAGCGTGCAATCCTCGTCAGTCAAGTAATTTTTTAAGTAATCATTTGTACAATCCATTTAGCATAACAATTTAAAATATATACAAAATAAGTATAGATACACGCTCAAGTACATTAAACATAAAACACATTTCATATAATATACTAAGCAGCTAAGTAAAACAAATATACGAGTACAAGTCTACGATAACGATGATTATATTATACGAGTAGATGAACGTTTGGCAGACGTCAATAACAAGAAAATGAAACTTTTTGGTATTTTGTGCGATCACATTTTCAGAACGCAGCGCTACGTGATTTATACTCGCACAAGTATTATTCAAAATGCGTAGATAGATATTTTAGATTTGATTGGCTGCAGTCAATATCCGACAAGTACGCATAATAATATGTACATTGTATTTGTATACACTAGATTGTACAGAATTTTTGACCGCAAACGAAAACGCCAGCTTTGTACGCCAAGCACACACTCCAGCGATAAAAACGCTACCTGATTCCGAATCTTCTATTAAACCGTTTGTTCAAATTATGCGGATAGCTGCAGGGTTGTACAGAAAAAATGAAACGATCTACCAGTTCAGGGCGATGCCGACGAAAAAAATCCACAATGGAATAAACCAACCGAAATCGCGAAAAATTACATTAAAATAAAAAAGGCAGCAAAAATAAACGCGGTACTGGAATAGAAAAACTAAAAATTGCTCGTTTATAAATCAAAGCTTACTTTTTTTTCTTGTCAATACAGATTATGTGCATGGTGTACACAAACATCTTAAAATACATTTGACCTATCCACCAGTTGTTTGTAATGTATTGATTTGGTCAATTTGGTTAACAATTATAGCACCAAGATAACTTACCTATTATGCATTAAAATGAGTACAAATATGAACAAAATTTATTAAGAAATAGGATATATTTTGTTAATGTACATTTCATTTTTTTTTATTAAGAATGGTGTCTGCCTTTAACTACCTGATCAGTATAGTTAAGATTGTCCATGTTCAATATGAATATCTTGTAATACATTATTTAGATTATACATCCTGAAAGGTCCCTGAAATTTAACTATGTGTGTATTATCATATAAAAATATAAACCATTTACTTATAGAGTAATACCTAAATAAACGTGTAATATTTAGATTATCTAGTATAGTATACCTATCATTGATAAGAAGGCAAATTAGATAGGTGACCTAACCAGACTGTTATTACTATTGTAATTTAATAAATAGGTAGTTAATAATCTCAACATAATATAAGTATATAACAAATAGGTAAGTACCATTGCTACAAAATGTACAAGATATTACAATAATATTCAAATATATTTTTTCATTGTATATACACATTTGTGTAAAATGATAAGTAATTTAAAAATAATTTATGAAGTCTAGTAAATTAAATTTAAAAAAATGTTTTACCTATTTATTTTTCTTTAATACATTATTAATTCGTTAAATCTACTAATTGTATATTATCTAAAATAAAATGTAAATAAAACTTTAGTAACTGTATACTGAACAAGGGTAGTTAAACAATTGTTTAATCATAAGCTTTCTATTGTAACCTTAATAATATATTGTATTTTATTGTCGACTCTTCTATCTTAATAAAACAGTTAAAATATATTAAATACTTACTAAGCTAGTTAATTTTCAATAGCTCATGAATAAATGTTCTCCGTTGAATAGTTTAATTCATTTTAAATTCAATTAGAAAAAATGTAGATACTTATTACTTTGATTACTAAGATCATGAGTGCATAAAAACCAAATCTAGTCGATCCACACTATAACAGCACTTTTAGAACTTCACAAGACTGATTTCTTTCTCTACTAGTGGGAAACTTTAAGTAAAAAGGTTCCATTTTCTTAAGAGAATATCAAATGTCACACCTGTTATTCCTAACACACACACAAACTATAGAAAAAACACTTGACACAATTATTCTTATTTGACAACCAAAACTGATTAAATTATGTAAATAAAAACAATTACAATATTTACTAATATGGTATTAATAATTTATAGCATTGAATATGTATTTCTCAATATTTTATTTTTTTAAATAGGTACCTAATTGTTATTTATAAGTTATGTACAACCTTTCTAACATCTAGCAACTCCAAATTATTTTCTGGATGTTGAAAATGTAACAAACAACAATTTCCTAGCCTTCTTAAAATTATAAATTTATGGCTGTGCATAATAATAGGTATTTTAAACTTTAAAAGGACATATCAATGTGATGATAATTATTTATATTATTTAAAATCTTTAAACCTATAGGTAGGTACTAGAATTTAGTACATAAATATTAACAAATAGGTACTCACCTAATAGAAATCCTTCTACGAGCTAAATCACTATTGACAAACTCCTGTAAGGCGATGTGAACGTCTTCCAATGCAATTATACTACCATCAGAAGTAGAAGAGATGTCTGAAAACGAATCAATGGTGTACAAGTCGTCATCGTCATCCGCATCATCATCATCATCTTCATCATCATCCTCCTCCTCCTCTTCCTCCTCCCCGTCATCATCAACGTCCACTTCAGGTTCCTCTTCAACTGTACCAATAGTTATCTGTACATTGCGCCTGAGCGTCAGGCTGACGGAAGCCTCGATCTGCATCTGTGCGTCAAATAGCCAAAATGCAGTAAACACAATCATGGGTATGAGAAATCTGGCTCGGCCACACAGGTGCAATAGCATCATCTTGCCGCCTTTAGGCGTGGGAGCAGACAGCAAACGAGGCTTGATCCAGTGAACGTACGCAGACATCATGCATATGACCGGTAAGATCTTCTTCTTGACATTCATCTAAAAGAAAAGGCCATCGTTATGCACCAATAAGGTGTAACATTAATAGAGGAAAAAAACACACTCACCTTGATGGTTGGAGTCCACTACAGACCGCTACATGTAATATTGTTGTACTAAAATAATTATAATACACTAAACTACAGAAGTGTATTATGTGCATTGGGCAACATTTAAAAAAATTTAGAATAATAAACAACAGAAATGATGATAATAATAATCAATCAGATTACGAATCATGGTGATGGACAAACCATAGAGTAATAAATAATATTATACAACGGGACAAACGGAATGTAACAAATAACACTACAAATAGTAAATACCAATAATTTATAATGATCACCAACAAGATAAGCTTGCTTTTGTTGACTGTGATAAAAAATACGCGCCATCTGCCGTGTATTATGAGAGTAAGATATTATAATCTTAGTTCGTGAAATGGCGCGGCGGCGCAAACGACCACAGATAACAAAATATTTAGCGGGACTGCGGGAGCTGCACATAAGCTGAGCCCCGAAAAAAGGTATACACGCATTGCATCCCAAAAAATCCAGGACCATCTTAATTAGGAGTTCTCTAACAACTAACAATTAAATAAATAAATGACAAATATAAATATAATCACAAACCAATCAAAAATGTGTTTATCAAATGATGTAAAAAAGTAAATAAACGTTGAATCATTCACATCTAATCAAAATAAATATTGCCTACAGCTTAGATCATATATTATAAATTATAATATATGATCTAAGGCCTACAGTCCATAACATAATAAAATAAATAATTAATAATGATAATGATATCAATCAAAATGTCTGTCAAAAATTAAGTATTTGTATTTATACTTATAAGATAAGCTTTTTTTTAAATATCTAACCTTGTTATTTTATTTTCATTTACAGATATAGTATAGGTAGAATTAAAGTCATGTTTTTATTGTTCCAACAAACTATGACAAACTTGCTTATAGGTCATAAACTCATAACCCTTACAATTAATACACCAAGGAGTGAACCCCTGAAAACAAAATAAAAATCCTACTACCTTACCAATTATATAGTGGGGCGCATTCGTGTAACCTTTTTACTGGACCCAAATAAGGTGCCCCGATAACAATACAGGTACTTAGATATTAATTATTAGATATGTTTAATATCTATGCTATATACTAAGTATAAAGTTTATGCCTCTATGTTCGAAGGTAATATGGTTACTGATTATTAATAATATAAAAGTAATAATAGTAGTCATTATTATTTGTTTTTATTCCATCTTGTACATTATAATATTATATTATACCTTATACTTGAAATTCGAAATTGTATTATAATATTATATACGTCATATATATATATATATATATATATTATATTATATGTCTCTTTTATGATTATTATAAATAATATACGGAATTCTAAGTCCTCAGACCTATATAAGAAAATTAACAGTTAATAATTTCTGATTTTATTAATAAGTAATAACTGTTTGATTACCAAATAATAAAATATTTAAAAATTATTATAAAACAAGTATGAAGTATAAAAAGTATTTAAATACATCATACATGGCAAGTATATTTTGTATTTTAAATATACTTTCTGAATGGATGTTTTTGTATCTGTATTTAAATATACAATTGTATTCTTTATACCGTTTGACAAAACATTTACAACTTTTATTTGCACAACACCATTTTTTTTATTTCATTTGCTAATAATTTAAGAAATCGAAATTTATATTTAAATACTACTAATATCGGTTTATCTTTTTCGCTAAGCATTTCTTAAATTTCCATCATTTAAACTCTATAAAACGAAGAATCAAACAACACTAACAGTTCAATATATAACTGAGTTCCACTAGCAACCTTGCAATCTTGCAGTTTATCTGCTTTTTTTTATCTTTAATAGACTGGAAATTATCACTCCAAATATTGGTGATCGTATGAATCGTGAATACGTTAGTTATATTTATGTCAAAATACGTATCGGACGTAATCGGGATAATTATTTAATTTTGATAACCACTTGAATTTAATAACCACTAGTATTTCCTACCAACTACAGATGGGCCGTAATCGGGATAGATGAAAAGGTATAAAGTTTACATTGGGCCACAATCGGGCGAGACCCCTTTAGGTATAAACATGGAAATACAGGTGTACAATGACAGAACCCCCTCCCCGTAAGTTAATATTTAATTCTCGCTTGAAAGTTTTAAATTATTATTTCCTAAAAGATACAATATTATAAGCTGACTCAAACAGTACCTAACTACCAACAATACTTTATAATATGTTTATGGATTTTCATTTTATAAAACTAAAAAAAAATATATTTTTTTTTAACGGGTATTAACTATTAAATGTTACCTTTTAAAATGATACGATATTATTATATTTATATATGTCATTGCTGGATTCAGCTATGTGGACAATGGAGGGCTCTTAAGTCTTGACATATTCATCGATAGAGGCCCATTTTAATACTTAACTACTTTTTTTCCAAAAATAGTTGTGTAGGAGTGTACAGCGTGTAGCATTTAACTATCGACTAATATACTATAAATCAAAAACTTTCTTAACACGTTTTTATAGCGTTTTTTTATGAAGTTATGTTTTGATGTGCGATCATGATCTATTCTATTTTTAAAATGTTATAATATTTTTTATTTATAATAAAAATTTAATTATTAGCGATTGAAATATACATATGTATGTTAAGTTTATGTTATTGTATTATTTTAGATTTTGAGCGGAACGATGGATGTATTGATTTTACAATGATGTGGTTTTTTCTTTTTATTTGTGTCTGTCGTCACCTTTTGAGGCAGTAAAATATAATTTGAAGAATAATTTTCTGGTACTTTGGGGAGTCAAAAATAAAAAATTCCTTATAGTTTTCATAAGAGTTATGGATTAAGGTACAAATTAAGGAAAAACTGAGGTTTTTACTCAAAATAAATTTTGGTTTTTGGTGTTACTCTAGAAAAAACAATCGTAGATACATGCAATTCTCACTGAATGTTTATACTGACATTTTTATAAATTTTTTTAAAAAAATATTTTGACTCCTTTTGTACTATTTAAAGAAATGAAAAAATTAGTTTTTTATTAGTTTTTTTAAAATTATTGTCGATAAAAAAAATGTTAGTTCAATCAAAAGAATGATATGTAATGATTCCTCATAAGTTGATGCAAGTGAAAATAAAAAAAACCTTGACAGTAAATAAATATAATTTTTATAAACGCCTGAAGTTACAATGTTGACAAAATTCATCAAAACCACGACACTTTGCAAGTTATTTTGAATTAGAAATTCACCGAATTTTTCTCGAACGGAACAATTGGCAGTACAAATTTCACTATTATAAATATTGAAAATATTATACAATATACAAATTACAAATGTAAATAAATGAATGAACTGTTTACGAGATTTTTATTAAATAATTAAACAAATTGTTAAAATAATAAAATATAATATAAGTATGTATCAAATAATACTTTCAGATAACTTTGGTTCGTCAACCATACCCATTAAATTGGGTAGCAAATTCATAACGTGAATGACGATAAAACCAAAAAACCTATTCTCCAACTTTTTAGGTATTAATGTATTATGTCTAAAAAAAAATATATTAATTCAAGGATAAAATGTCTCGGTGCAGGTGGAAAACGTCCAGTATCGCTAAAACCAAAGGGTGGGGGAATACACGGGGGGAAATGTCGAAAACTGATATCAAATCTGAATAATACTAAAAAGGGGAATACATAAAAATTAAACGAACGAAAAAAATCAAATACTTTTGGAGTTTTGTTTACACTGAAAGAGAATCTGAAACGGTGAAATCTAAGTATCAGTGTTTTAGGCGTGAATAATATTATTAGATACCTATTTATGTTCTAGCTTTATTGAATTCGACCAACACCATGGCTAAATTTAGCTTATTTAGACATGGTCGACACGACCGGAGCACAGAATGTGAAGTTTTGAATACCGGGCGATTACGCCTGCGCCATCTTCCGTCGAAGTTCTTCAACACGACGAATAGTTCGGCATCGCTGTACCACCGTTACCGGTTTCACAGTCGCAACTAATATATTATAATCACAAAAGCAGTATAGAAGCTGCAGCTATTAAATTTAATTTAATTTATCATGAGTGAAGTCTTGTGTCAAAAAATTGAGCTCTACCCACAGAATTGAGTATAGAGGTATAGACAATATCAATGGTTGTATACTTATAACAAAGATATAACTTGGCCCAATACAACTGGGCATTTCAAGGTAGATAATGGTTAGGGAATGATACCGCGATTACAACGGCCAATCAGAAAACAGTCACACGACACGAGTACGCGACACACGATACCGGACGTATACACCATAGCTAAATACCCAACTTATTTTAATTATTTAGCCACGGTATATGCTATATAGTATATACTAGGTATATACTATACAGGAATATTCCCGTGAACTCGGCTCGTCAACTATTTTATGTCCTTAATTACTTATGCAGGCTCAGAATTTAGTGATGAGCGATTTTTGAAAGTGAATCGGGCCCAATACGGCAGTACACAGTCAATTGTATAATTGAACGTGTATTGATGATATTGAAGCTATGATTATTGATTGATATATTACGATTTGCGAATATAAAAACCATTTTGAGATATTAACCAGACTGATGACTAATTTACTTATTATTAATAGAAAAAACAATTTTTACTATTTAATAATGAACAGTAGATCATTATTTATTTATAGCGCACTGCACAATGTTTGAGTAATGGTACTTGTGTTTTTATTAAACATTAGTTATACATTATAACGTATTTATCTTATGACCAATATAATTTTTAGAGTTGTATACTTCAGTTAGCCTCCTATAGTCTACATACTTTCTTACCATAAAGATAATCTGCACTAATGCCAGTTAGGTAACTATCATTTTTAACTTTTACAGCACAAACAATGTATAAATACTGAATAGGTTCTTGAACTTTTTTAGACAAACACAGTAAACATTTTTACTATAAGCAGAGGCCTCAAACCCCAAAAAAGTTTTTTAAAAAAATTATAATTTCATACTGTACGGTCATACCTAGTGATTATAGTAGGTATGTAGTCTATTTATAGTGGGCAGTGGCTATGTGGTATTCAGACTTATTAGTAAGCCTCGTGGGGGGCATACGTGCATACCATACCCGTACGGGCGTATTACTTACCTATGAGACACCTGTTATATACTTATATGTATTAATTAATGTCAAAAATAAACAACCATATTAATATAAAATTAAATTTTTGACAAGTGTTGATACTGACAATAATTATTATTCTCACTTAATTTTCCGTCGCCAATCGTATTAATCTCAATTTTATCAACGTCGCGTCGTAAGGATTTGTTCGAAAAATTAAATAATTTTCGATTAGGTGAAAACCTTGCTAGCATTATCAAGCAACCAAGTTATTTTTTTAAGTAAAAATCTTTGAATAAAATTTAACAAACCTGGATAAATGCGCCTTGCAAAGAGCACTAAACTGCTCAATATAACTGGCACTGTATTTATTAGTAAATTATTACTTATTACTAATTAGTGACCATAATGGTAGGTAATAAGTAATAACTAATAAGTAATAACTAATAATATAGTTATATACTAATATTAATAAAAACTAATATAAATGAAATATTTTTATTTATTTATTAAATAATTCAAACATATTGTGATATAAAAAATAAAAATAATAAATTTGATTAGAATCTTAAAATATAAACACAATATAACATTCTAAATAAAAATTAACATACACTATGAAGTATGAAAAAAAATTAACCTAATAAACAGTTATTATAAATATTAAATATCAACATATAATATTTTTCTGATTTACATGTTAGGGAGAGGCTTGGCCAAACCCGCCAACCCCCACTAGAAAAAAAATACAATACAAATACTACATGCCACTTGACGAGTATTTGAGTCCTTATTTCTTTAATTTCATACCTTTTCTATTATTTGGGTATTATCAAATTTATTAGGTATAGTTCCTATTTTGGTCTATTTTTATCTTTTCACGGAAAAAAAACCATATATAATATCAACTAAACAACAGGTGAATATTTTAATAATAATTTATAAATAAATCTACACTTGTCTATGGCCTATGCTTAGTGCTTACCGGTTACCAGTACCGACGTCGCCGTACTAAGTATCTAGTTCTTAGTAGTCAGTACCATAGACATATTAACTAATATGTCTATGGTCAGTACAGTACAGAGTACTTATACTGGCATTATTGTGTAGACCCGCCGGAATTACAGAACGTCTAAAGACTAAACCGTGAGTGTGATAAAAATCCTATTATTTTAAATTTTACGAATTACCCATGTTATAGTGGATTACTTCCGTACTATTTTTTTATAAGCCTGATAATTACAAATTGCATTTTTTAAATTTAGTTTAGTTCATAGTTGATAAAGAATTATTTGATATTTTAAATGTAAAAAACTAATCAAGACCTGCCTTCTTCAGTGATGATTTGTTTACGACTACTGACTAGTAAGTATTAAATATGTTTGTAAATTTACATGTTTCTAAAACTACTAAGGTCAATTGAGCAAAATATTTTTATTGGTTAGGTAGTATAATTTTCAACTAAATAATTGTAATAGTTGGTAGATGTACCTATAATATTCATTAAAGAATTGAATACCTACAACCTGTCTTTTGCTGGGGACAGAAATGTTCAAGGCATTTTAAGCGGATTCGTTGAACATCTTCTCACCTACTTAAATTTTAACTTTATTTTTAAAAATAAAATTTGATTCAATCATCACATTAGTCTTAACCACAATTAAAGATATACTTAATATGTATTGGTATATTTTTAATTGTGGTCTTGACACTATTTAGTCTTTAGTCACTTAAGTTTATAGTGGTGGCTTGAAAGCTTTGAATAAATAATTATTTATGTTAGGTATATTCCTGTAGTTACTAGGTAATATTGAAAGAAAATGAATAAATTTATTTATATTTATCAATGAAATAATCTGCCACAGTAACCCACGTATATATTTTGAAATATTTTTATGGTTTGGCGCGAGGGTCCAAAAAAACTGGTTTTTATTTAAATAAATGGGTATATATACATATATTTTCAAATAACAATGGACTACTATTTATTCAAATTAAAAGCCGATCTCATATAAGTTGACCACATTATTTCAAATATACTGGCCCTTAAACTACTATAAAAAATTATATTTTTTTGCTAAAACAGGTTAAGCCCCACGGGGGACTTCATATAATAATTACTGATAAATACCTACATTAAATAAATTACCATTTATGTAATATTTTTTTACAGATAAAATTGTTAAATTATGATTTGTGTTGTGTGATAGGAGTGGTAGAATATTTTCCCCCTTCATATAATATGTGGCCTACAGTGTTATACTAGGTATGTTGGCACTAGATAGTACAGTTTGGAGGTCTGCGTCAGGAAACTATCCTGGAAAACCAGGCTAAAAGGAGTAGGAATGTAAGTGATTAATAATAATAATAGTACCTAATAATAATTGTTTTATTAATAAATGTTAGTTCGAGTATAAAACCGGGTATTGAATTTCCTGTTAGACTGAGAAATAGTTAATAATACTTTAAAATATTAGGTACCATAAGATAACATATAATATGAAGGTTATAAAGACTCCCTACAATGTCGAAGGAAATTACAAAAAGCGTAGATTCTTCAATACCCTTCATGAGCCTGTTAATAATTAAATATGTGAAGTAGGTATGTTAACACAACATATAACTAATGATAAGCAAATAATGTTTTTTGACATTGGGGCTTAACCTGCATGTAATCTCAGTAAAAAATAAATAAAAAAAGTGATACAGGATCTTAGTCTTCTGTTTCAAGCTACAGATTTAATTAAACACACAACAATTAAATTTTTTTCTGATTCTTACGATTTTCAAAACACTTAGCTATTTACAATAATAACTCGAGTTCTCTGTTTTCAGTCAAATTAATGTTGGAAAATGTTTTGAGGAAAAACATAATCATTTAACTTTTTTGTTCCATTCAAAATTTAAAATAATACATTTTTCACGAAACAAAATGTATGTTTATGTAATGCCCACAATATATTATGTACTTTGCTTATAACCTATTAAAACAGGTACTTGGTAGAATAAAATGTTGAAAGTAAACAGTGTTATTCATGTTCATATGTAATAATGAAAATGAAATAATTTCACTGCAGTAGCTACAACACTTAGAAGTATTCCATATGGAATAAGAAAGCCTGTATTTTAAATAATTTCCACATTAATTAGTCCATGTTTTAAATGTAATATTTCATTTTATTACCTGTATGGATACCAATTATCGATACAATAGCCATTCTGATTTGCCCCTCTCTATCTCTCTGTTCGGTAACCCTGAAAAATGAACGACTCACAAAGAAATTAAAACTGTAAACATTTACTATATCCTAAATAGTTTAAGGAAAAGGTTTTTTGAGATTCCTTAAAGTGACAATTCCAGATTTTATATCAATTTTTCATTGAATAAAAAAATGATCAGAACAATTTTTTGGGAAAATGAATAGTAATCTAATTCTAATACCAAGTTCATGGTCTAAATTTCATTTTTTAACCTTATGTCCTAGGTCCAATCAAATTCGATTTAAATCTGGAACTGCCACAAACCAACCAAGTATTGACGAACAATTATTATAGAAGGAAACTATTAAAGGTAATTTAATTGACTTAGGTGTTGGTGTTGTTAACATTTTCTAATACAAGCGTTAAGTTTAGATTTCCTGACGATAATCGTTTAATTACCAAATAAAAATTGGAGGAGAAATGATTTTGTCAATTCCTATGTGTTGTATGATTTTTCGAGTTAGCTTTCCTTCTGCAAAACAAACAAAAACTGTTAGATAGAAAGAGTTCTGTTGAATAGAATAATATCAACACATGGAATAAATAAATTACAAAATGGAAATGTTAAGACTATTTTTCAAAATTATACTTTATTATTAACAATATTTTGTTATCTTGTAACTACAATATAAAGGTCATAAAACGACCAATTTGAGGTAAAATTATTTAATTATTTATATTTATAGTTGAAAAGAAAATATAATTGTGTACAAAATAATGTAAGTGAAAAATAATTTAAAATATGAAAACTTCTAATAAGTTTTATATTTTGACTCAACAGAATCAAAAGAAAAATCAGTGTTTTTAGTTAATTTTTCTAAGCATAACTACGCGCACTGATCAATTTTTTTCTGATATGAACGGATGTACCAAAGCCTGTGATATTCCAATGCGTTTTGAAGAATCCAAAGTCAGTATTTTATCAAGCAAGTCCTTCAATTGTCCAACTTTTCGAATTTGCTCCTCGGGTAATTTTTGGTTCCCCAATAATTCAGTATATAAATCACGACTGGGATTTATTGAAGACATGGTTATAACTTTTTCCTAAAAAAAATGCATAAATGTACAATTCAAATAATTAAAAAGATAATAAATGTATCAAAAATTGGTATAATTTTAGTATATCAGGCACTTTAAGTTAATATTTATTTTTTGTATCTTATCTACGGTATTCATGTCGTATGCGGTCTACCACACACTTGTCGTCTACCACGTAAGTTTCTACACGTCATATGCGGTCTACTGTCGCGTTTTTGTATTATTTAATATTATATTGAAATTCTAAATTTATGTATTCATTCATATTTTTAACCATGTAGTAGACCGCATGCGTGGTAGACAAAAATGTGCGGTACCTAGATGCGGTAGACCGCATATGACGTGTAGAAACGGTCGGTAGACCGCATACGACATGAATACCTTATCTACTTCTTAATGCATAAAACGATGGTGCAGATCATTAATTCCTGAGTTATAGTCGTATGATGATTAGGGATGGGCCGCAGTACTATGATAGTCAAATCATAGATTAGGTTACTAGTTATGTCTACTATCACTCAACCGGCAGCCCCACCAGTGAACCATTTTCACCACTGAGGAGTTTGGGGTCGTTGAGACCTCTAGTTTGGTGATCAGGGCTGACAGGTAAAAGGAGCAACTATTTGTCATACTCAAAAAGTACAAAATTCAAAGTAATATTATTTTTAAGAAAGGGCACTCGGTATACTGGAAAAGTTAAAAAAATGTTGTGCTACTCCATGACACCAATATTGCCATGAATACAACCTCCCCATTTACACAAAACCAAAAAACTTGAATGGAGGAATAACAGTTTTTAAAAAAAAACTCCGGGCCTACTTATTTTGTGATCGCCAACTAATAGTTTAAATATCATTAATATTATAATATACATTTTAATTTCTAGTAAAAATATTTTATAATTTAAGTAAGCTTTAATAACATTAATTTATTAAACACGAGTTATAAAAATTATAAATTATTTTTGCAAAGACATTGGCCAAAATGTAATAGATAAATTCTGGAATTCCGTTTTGCTTGTAATTCAAAAATAAATATATTTTGTGATCACCAACTAATAGTTTAAATATCATTAATATTATAATATACATTTTAGTTTCTAGTAAAAATATTTTATAATTTAAGTAAGCTTTAATAACATTAATTTATTAAACACGAGTTATAAAAATTATAAATTATTTTTGCAAAGACATTGGCCAAAATGTAATAGATAAATTCTGGAATTCCGTTTTGCTTGTAATTCAAAAATAAATATATTTTGTGATCACCAACTAATAGTTTAAATATCATTAATATTATAATATACATTTTAGTTTCTAGTAAAAATATTTTATAATTTAAGTAAGCTTTAATAACATTAATTTATTAAACACAAGTTATAAAAATTATAAATTATTTTTGCAAAGACATTGGCCAAAATGTAATAGATAAATTCTGGAATTCCGTTTTGCTTGTAATTAAAAAAAAAAAAATTAAGTTGTACAGTTGCATCTTATTCCAGACAAATCAGGCAGAGTTTATGGTTCAGAATAATCTGTGAGTGATAATCTTTGATTCAACTAAACAACAACTACTGTACTAATATGTTGATATACACACACATTTATAGACAACTAGCTACTCGTCCCAGCTCTGCACAGGTGCAATGCTGATACTTAATACTACAGAATGTCTTTATAACAACTGCGTATACAGCTACACACCAAATAACAACATTACACACCACGTTGCAGTCAACGTTGAACGTTTGTTTTTTATTTCTTGTACACTTATATAATTATTATGTTTTATATTAATTTTATTTTTATATTGTATATTATGCTATTTATAGGCACGCTGTATCAACTGCTAAATCTGAAATATCTTCAAAACTATTCATTTAAATTACGTGCTGTAAAGGGCCATGTTCATCAATATTAAATGCACAATGTATTTAAGGTACTTAATTGGATAAGGATTAATGATGTATTGCTTAAAATCGCTTCATAAATAAGCCATTATTTCTAGTAAAAATTAAAGGATACAAAATGGTTATTTTGGGTTATTCCTAAGATTTAGACTTATATCATCAGGGACTTTTTTGTAGACCTTTATAAGGTTACATATTATATACATATATATTTTTTCCTCTTGTTATTATATTATGCATGTTATTTTCATGCACACCTTACTCTTGAATCACTCTATCAATTAAAAACCTCTCATCAAAATCCGTTGCGTAGTTTGTAAGATCTAAGCATACATAGGGACAGACAGCGAGAAGCGACCTTGTATTATACTAGGTAGTGATAATGATAGTGATTTATTTATTTTTATTTAAAATAAGACATGAGTAATTAAAAAAAAAGTTTTACAATTAAACTTTATCAATTTAATTAATTAAGTACCTATAAATAGCATTATGGGAATCAACTCAATCCCAATAATTGGGTTAATGTTTTTTAAAATACAATCTTACAAATATGATTAATTTCAACTAACTCAATCTTTAAATTAATAATTAATATCACTAGTATACTAAGATATTATATTCTTAGCCACCCAAATTATTTATATTTAAAGTAAAATCATACTATAGTTAACTAAACTTTAAGAGCAATAGTTCATTATTAAAAAATAAAATTATTACATATTGTTTGCAAAGACACTGGCTAGAAATAAATAAATTCTGGAATTTGCATTAAGTTGCCATGAATTATTATAATATAATCAATAGATTGAAAATAAAATAAATTTTCTAAAAACATAAACTTGTGACACTCCATAGATAATAACATTAATTTTAAATTTGTTCAACACATTAATTATTAGGATTATTTTTCAAATATATTAATTATTATAATTAATTTTTGGCATCACAGCATTAAGTATAACTATTATCGGTTATAATATTTCTCTTTTTAAAATGTGTTAAGCTTGTATATTTAAATAACATAAATCTTACTCGTTCTGTGACTTTGTCAACTTCGTGATACAGAAAGTTACAATTGCTATCAAAATGTTGGTCTTTGAACATTCCTTTCCGGATAGTTTTGTTGGCCATTTTTCCTTTCAAATCCATAAAAAATTTCAACATCTAATGATAAAAATAAAAATGGTATATATTTATGTTTACATCAAAATTGTCCTTAACTATAATAATTATGTATTAAAATCTATTTTGAATTTACTTGGTTATTAGTTTTTCCAGGAAATAATATTTTTCCAGTATAAAGTTCATAAATAGTACAACCAGCGGACCACATATCAATGCCAAATTCACATTGAATACCTAAAACTAAAACAAAATTCTTATTTTAAACTTGTATATATTATATTATACTATATAGGCCAGTGGTTCCATAACTTTGTAAGTTACCTCCAATAAGACTTTCTAACCGCAGACGCCTTCTTAATTTCTTTCAAATAACCCTTTTTATTTATAAAATTGTTTACCATAAATCTCACATAAAATATAAAGTAAAATAAAATAACTTGAATTTAAAATAATAATATACTTTGGAATTATACCTTCACAATTGAATTGCATTATTATTCCGTACACATATTATGTTATGTGTCCGTGGATGGAACCACCGATAGTGTATAAGGACCTCTGATATAGGCAATAAAAAACTTACTTATTTCAGGGGATCGGTAAAATCGACTGACCAGATATGGTGTAATTTCATTATCAGTTATGTGCGATGCTGATCCAAAATCACACAATTTCAATACTAACTTACTTTCATTCACCTAGAGTTGAAACAAAAGTAATATACTTATGAAAAAAATAGTATTAATGTTTTATTTTTTGTTATTATAACCAGGAGTATGAGATTCGCAGGAACTGCAGACCACACAATTAAATTTTTTCCAGGGAGTTGTATCATAGTTGAACTGGACTTGGTAATACCTAATTACCAAAAGGCAAATAATGTCAATATTATGATCATAATTTTGCAAAAACATTGGCCAGAAATCAATAACTAAATCCTGGAATTCCGTCTTGCTCAACTTAAATCTAAATTCTAAGTTTAAGTTAGTAAGATACTCACCAGAATATTATCAGGCTTGATGTCAGCATGTAATATGTTTGCCTTTTTCATCAATTTCAATGCCAAAAACAACTGTTGGCTATATGAACGAACAGCTTTAATGTGCAATCCAATATCTTTGCCATATTTCTTCAACACCTATGGTTTTAAATATTAATATATATATATATATATATATAAGAAAGTATTTTTTTTTTCTAATAAATCAATGAGCAATAAAAATTATTGAAAAATGTTAAAGTAAATTCTTATTTATATTTAAAATGTAACACTTATTTTTTTAAATAAAACTATAACCAAGTTGTTAAGTACACATTTTTTAGTTTTTTTTTAATAACCTTTGGTGTGACGCGTAGGGTGCTTTTATTTTAATCATACAATCACAAAATATTATTTTTATTGATAAAACAAAAAAATTTGTAGTAATAATTAATATACTTCAACAGTAGATATAAAATATTTTATAACTTGTAATATAATAAACAATTAGTAATTAATAGATATAGTATACATATAGCATACAATTTATGGCTTGATATGCGCGCCACTAAAAGCTAAAACTGATTTTAAGTTTAGAATCAAAACTATAATTTAAAAACTAAATATTTTCATTTATAGTAGGGGGCTTTTTTGGAGAATGAAAAGTGACCGATTATTGCAATATGCTACCAATGGAGAATTTTAAAGAAGCGTATATTTGAATTACTATATGAGGTGCATAATAAAGTTTGGTCAAAAAATAATAAATATAAAAACGAAGACACCAGATGTTTACTAACCACCTGCCAGGTGCCTCACTTTGAGAATCTTGGTTGAAACAGATTGCCAACATAATTTGAGGGCGGCCACTTTTCATTCACACCAAACTCCAAACTACAATTAGTTGCATTTTGTCATTTGGAATTTTTTTTTAAAAGAACTTAGTTAATTGATAAAAAAAATTGAATTACTACTGTGTTCATAATTTACTTTACCTCTCTAAGATTCATACTAAGAGGTTCAAAAACCATACATAAATGTTGTTTGTGAAAAAAGTGACGGTATAAACGGAGACAATGAAACCTATCGTCAGGATCAGAATCATTTAACCGTTTAAGAATTTCTAATTCTTTCAATCCTGTCTTGTGCCTAAATTAAAATAAAAAATTTATAATTAACATAAAATAATCCAAAATGTGTTACTATTTATAACTATTTACATAATTTCATTGTTTCGTATAATCTTAACAGCCACATCTTGATTATCGCGGGCCGCATCTCTGGCACGAACGACATTAGAAAATACTCCTTGCCCAGTATATCCATAGACAGTATAACGTGAATCCATAGTTTCACCAATTCTTACGCGATAATATCCTTCTGCATCATCCCAGTTATCAGTTAAAGAAGGATTTTCTGGTACACTCTTGTTTCCATTTGATATACCATCTGGTTGAGGAGTCTAAAAAATAATTAATAATTATTGAATAATTTGAACACGACGATTAATGAATATAGTATGAGTATGTTAATTACATGTTGTGTAGCATGAAATGAATCAGCTTCTGCAAACATATCCCATTTGCCTTTTATTAAATCAGGATTTAATACATGATCAGGCTTAGTGGTCTCTTTATCAGTTGCTGAATCAGAATCATTTAATAATCTATCAGTTTCTTTAGGAGATGGAATTTCTGGAGAATGCTGAACAGATGTTTCAGTTGCATAGCTTCCATGTGGAGAAGGATTCATAGAATCTTCACTATGCAAATTACTATTATTTGCTCCTAATCTCTATATAACAATTACAATTCAATATGATCAAATAATTATGGTACCAAGTATAATCAAAAATTACCTTCAATAATTCCTCCCTCTGCTTTCTTCTTTTTTCAATAATTTCTTCTTCGTTTTCATCTTCCGCAATATTTATATTTACATCAATGCTATAAAATAATTCATTTCATTTGCAATCATATTTTTCAACATTACAAAACTATCATTTTCATGAAACCCACAAATGTATCTTATACGGTTAAAAATAAATAAAAAGGTGAAGTTAATCATTTTTTATTTAAATTAACTTTAAGCATTTTGTAATACACTAAAATGTAAGATATAATAGCATAATAAACTCAAAATGTACTAACTCAGAATCTGAAGATGACTTATCATCACGCTTAAGACCTTCAGAAAAGCTGTCTTTATATTTATCTCCTCTATCTTTTCCTCTATGAGATCTACAACCATTAAAAATATAATCAATTAAATTTAAATACATGCAACTTAAATTATGTTTACAAGTGAATGCAAATTATAATTGAAACTTACGCTTACCTAGAATATCGTTCTTTACTATGTGATCTCCTATCATATTTTCTATTATATCTCTTATCTCGGTCTCTGTCTCTGTCCCTATCTCTATCTCTCTCTCTATCACGATCACGGTCACGATCACGATCGCGGTCCCGATATCTATTAGCACCTATAACAAAAACGAAATAAAAATAACTAAATTAACATTACATTGTCAAATAACTATTTGACAACATAAAATTAAAATAATGGCTTATGAAATGTCAATTTTGAATTGATATTAAACTTAAAAATATATATAGTTTATTATTTTTATAAATAATATTAATGTATTTATCTTACCAGGCGGACTTCTTGCACGGTCTCTATTAGCTAAAAAAAAAAAGATAGTATAAATAATAAAATTTAATTATTTTAGGCATTATAATGTTTAAAGCTTACGTATAGGACTTTTAATACGATCTCGTCTCCGTCTTAATTGATCTTCGCGTTGCTTGATCTGTTCTTCTCGTCTTCTGACTTCTTCTGTTCGTCTTTTTGCTTCTTCTTCTATTTCTTTTATTTCTTCATCTCGTCTTCTTTGTTCACGCCTCCTTAAATCGTCTTCTCTTTTTTTAATTTCCTCTTCTTTTCGTCTGATTTCACGTCGCTTTTCATCTTCCAAATGTTTAATTTTTCTTTGTCTATCTTTATCTTTTTCTCGACACCTTTCATGTTCCTTATCACGATCTTTTTCTTTTTCACGTTCTTTTTCTTTTCGCATGCGATCTGACTTTAAATGAGTTATGTCTTTACTTACACTTCTATCTCTTGTTTTCTTAATTTCTTGACTGGAACCATGATAACGTTTTAATGGACTTCTTACACTATTAAATAAAAACAACTTTAATTTAATAAAATGTATGAGATATTATATAATTTTTACAATTTATCATAAAAATAACTATACCGTTCACTATTCTTGTTTTTATATTCTTCATCTGACTCGTCATCAATTAGGTTAATGGTTTCAACTGATTTTTTAGCACTTGGCTTTTTTTTTTTATTGGTTTTATCAGCTTCTTCTGATTCTGATAAATAAGCTCCTAATCTGGCTTGAAGTAAAGCCTAAACATAATTAATATCTTTAAATTATTATTTAATTATACAATCTTTAAATATTAAAAATTATTAACTAAACATATTGTATAGGTAGTTGATAAATAATATACTGAAATCATAAGTGCCCTATTATTAGATAGAATATATACTCTATTCCAAATAAGAATAACCACTTGACTAACGAAAATTGCTGCCGCGCATCCCCTCCCACAAACGTTACCATCTTGGAGTGCTGATGTTAAGTCGCAAAACACCACGGTGTATAAGTAGTGAACTATATTATCACGATGTTATTACTATACTCAGTGTGCTATTTAAACATATATATTTCTGTAACATCTATATACACGGCAGCTAATAAGGAGTAACTCAAGTTGCGGACAAACAGCAACCAATTATAGAGTGCTGGCACTTGTCTGGGGGGGCACTGACATTCTAGCGGCTCAGTATGCATGCGCAAAAGTGGCTATTTTTATTTGGAACAGAGTATACGAAATTTGATTTTCTGCGATTAGGTATTTATTATTAAATTCCTATTAAGTATTAATATATTGGAATATTCAAATATATATCATATTATATTATCTTAGGACAATATGCATTGACATGTAAAATATATCATAATAATTCAATTCTGCATTTTATTTCAATAAGTTCATTGTTATATGTATTCAATCTACTACTGTCGCTAAAATACATTAATTTATCATCGATATCAAATTTAAATGATTATATTCATTTAAGTAAAGTAATATTTAAAAATAACATACAAAATAATCCGACTTAATCTGAAAAAAAATCCTTTTAATTATTCATCAGTTTTACAAAGTTTAGGTCATCTGAATAAATTAAAACAAATAAAATATAATATACTTATATACAAATGTAAATCATGACATTAATTAGAAAAAAAAAGTATTGATTTGAATATTTTTAACTATTACTGCATTTAACGCTTTTTTTAAGAACGAAAAATATTGATCTTGTAATATTTAAGTTTGTTTTTCCATATTCAAATACAAATCATCTGAATACACATAACCAGAGCTCAAAACTTCATACATTTGCATATTAAAATTCGATTGAACACATAATATACAGGTAGAACTCAAATCCAAAATTTTATTTTGCATATTTTTAACAAATTTAAGGTGATATTGCATTATTTAAAGATATCATACATAATTAATGCATATTTTGCTAATAAACTAACAAATAACAAATTTTAATTATTAAAGAAATCTAATTCAAAAAGAAAGAACCTTCATGCATCTATATTCTGAATAACTACTATGGATTAAATATTTATTTTTGCATAGACATTTAATAAAAATGTCAACATTTTTGAATAATTTATTTTTAGAAGTTAGATACTTCCTGTTTAAGAAAATTAATATTTAATAAAAAAATTGTAGTAACAATTCTTAAGTGTAAATTTAGGCACATCATCTATAGTTGTGTAACACAGAAAGTTCTGAGCCCTGTACATAACGATAAAATACTTTATTCGTATTAAAAAAAATACCTTTTGCTTAATTAGTTCTTCTAAATTCATTTCTTCTTCGTCCAAATTGATTTCTGTTATTACTGGTCCTTCAACTTTTTTCTTTTTACTATTTTCAGGTGGTGGTGGAGATGGAGGTCTTTTTTGTTTACCATTCTGAATATGGTCGCCATTCGATTTCTTCTTATCTTTTAATTTGGTCTCTCCATTTTCTTTTTTTGTTTTTTTATGTTTTCTAGAAATAATTAAATACCTACTAATTAGCTTATAATTATACTTTTTGAATTAAGTTACATTTTTTCAATATAAAATAGCATGTCTAGTTCACGTTGTCCATTTAACTAGGAACATAATCGATAAATAATATACTCAAGACCATGTGGTCAAATATGCTAATAATTAATGTGTAGGTAATATGTTAAGTTGTAGATATAATCAAATTAGATGTTGTCAATATTTAATATACGTTATAACAAGTAAATGATAATTATGTTAATTTTAAACTCACCGTTCACTTCTATGCTTGTGTTTCTTTTTCTTTTTTTTCTTATCTAATCGAGTGTCATCGATTACCTTAACGGAGTCAGCAGAAGAATCATCAGACAAACTGTCAACTCTTCAATTTAAAAAACAATGAATTAATAAAAATACCGAGTTATATGTACTATAAATTAACTTACGCCATGTTTGTTGACGAAAGAAAATAATAAACAATAAACGGCTCAGAATTGTTTTTAGCAGTTCCTGAAAGAGATCGTCATTTCACTTTCATAAATTAATTAACTTACACACAATTAAATCACAGTCACACAAACAAATTACAACAATAATAATAGTTCCTATCTCGTTGACATTTTGAACACGAACAAAATCAAAGTATCAAACCCAGTTTTTTATGTTATTATAGAGTTGAGCCGTCAGACCTCTCACCAGAGAAGTATGCGTGCACAGTATGTGCTTTTGTACCTACTGGCTACTGCCCATAGAAAAGAATATCTGGTGTGGAGGGATACGTCCTACCTACATATTATTTGTTTACGATATTATGTTGTAGTGGTTTCAGTTAAAAGTAATGCAAAATATAAAGAGTGACCAACATAATATACATCGGAATGAGGTCACACAGTCACAAATAAATATAATAAAAATGCATTTCTTTAATTATTTTAAAACTCCTTCAATTGTTAAGCCTAGTTCTCTAGATTAATTACGTTGTTATTCAAATCAAAATTTTTATTTTTATTTTTATTTAAAAAAAAACAAGAAACTGTGAAATAGTTCATGACTTTCCTACATGGTTCTACTGTAGCACTATCAATTTTATAACGTGGAGGTTCTGTTATCACAATATTACAATGTTTATACATAATATTTATATACAAATTATTAGGTATGTTAACTTTGTTGTGCCAAAAGTTCAAAATCTAGACACCCTTATTAAAGTCCAAGAAAGTATTTCTCTTCGAATCCTAAGTATTAACGGTGCTTGTAAACTTATCCTACATATTAATTGTTTTTATAATTTTTTCTTCTGATTGTAAATTTTCTTTGATCATTTATTCCAATTTTTTTATTGGCGAATTAAACAATTTGAAAGTGTTTTTATTCATGGGTAAATAGTTGTCTAATAAATAATAATCCAATTAGTACCTAACATAACATGGTTATATGAAAAAAAATTTGTTTTAAAGTAGTGATGTTTGGTTTTAAATTAATGGAGACACTAATTTAGATATTGTTATGCATGCTGCTTTATCTAGCATTTAAAAATGATTATAGTTTGTAAGTATTAGAAGTTTTCTGATGTTTTTTTAGTCATTTAATCATAAATTCTGTTTAAAATTAATAATAATTGTCAGTATGTTTATACAAATATTTATTATTTACCTCTGATCATTTATCAATATCAAGAAAATGAACTAAGATATTTATTGTTCAGATAATTTAATATGCCTATATTAAGCCCAAAATAGGGCTTCAAAAGGTTTCAAGAGGTTATACTTGTATTATTAAGGAATTGTACAGATAATTGTATTTGTATAATTGTACAGTCAATCACTCTGATAAAACAATTTTTAAAAAAATATGAATATTTTGTAGTTACTACAATGATATATCTTTAAAAAATTTTTTTTCAACAATTTCAACTGGTGTTAATTGGTTTTGTCTAAAAAATAATATTATATTAGGTACTAAGTAGTGAGTATATTCTGAGGTGTAATCAATATTGTACCAATTAATTTTAAAATTTTTATTTTCATAAATATTTGTAGTATAATATTTATTTAGATTTTTTGAGTAATTAATTTTATAATAAAGAGTCATTAATGTTTCACATTTAAACATCTGCAATTTTTGTTATTTAGTTCCTTTTGTAGAATTTTGAAACTGTAGCTGTATTTAAAGTTGTAAGAAATGCATGAACTGTTTACACAAGTATTGAACTACAAAGATTTATCCAAGGTATAATTTGATTAATAGGGATCATACATTTATTTGAATTATTTTTTATTGAAAAAAAAATTATTTATAGGCTGGTGATTTATTTACTGTTTCTGATGATGCTATTGTGAATGATTTATCTGAAGTTATCAATATAATTTGTGAAATTACAAGCTTACCTGATTATGTATACAATGACAATGATCAAAGCGTTGTGGAAATATGCATCACAAGAGTTACTACTGCTATCAGGTATTAAAATTATATATGCTATTTTATTTAATACAGTATTATACATTAAACCATTGTGTATGGATTTATTCTTAATGATAATAATACATAATTTCATAATTATATGCTAAATTTCAATTAATCTATTCTTAAATTATTCACAGTATATGATTTCTAAAATATTATTGATCTAATTTTATTATTTAGGCATTTAAAAACTGTCAAGTGAAATTAATTAATGAGATTTAGAGCATTCTTACCTACTCCAACATGTATATACTAATCTATTGTATTATTAATTTGTTAGAGAAACTGGATCAATGGAACAGCATGCTGAAGCCTTGGTTACATTACTGGAATCATGCCTTAATCATAACCTTAAACCGTCACAAAAGGAAGAAGATCCACCTCATGCTAAAATATCATCAGACATAATATCCTGCATGTTTCTTGTTAGTATACAATTATTATTAAAAATGTAAATAATTGGCTAGGTATGTATTTCTTAAATGTGAAATATAATTGTTAAAATCCACAAGCAAAATATTTAATTTTAATGCTCAATATTTATTTTAGAATTATAGCAAAAAGGAAGTAATGAAAAGAGTATTACCAGTGGCTGTGAAATTTTTACATAAAGGAAATAAAGTATTATCAAGAAATATGGCTTCATATCTATCACTTGCAGCAATTGATAACTCTCCTTTACTATCAAATCATATACAACTTATTATAGATTCTATAATTTCAGGTAATTTTTTTTAACTACTATAGCTAAGCCAAATTTATTTAATAATGTAACAATTTAGGTAATTATCCATTATGCCGAGTCCTTCCTCAGATCTATGAAGTAACAAGAGATCCAATTCATGATCATGCAATGGCTTTAGTTTCTTTACTTCCGTTATGTGAACTTACTGAAAAGTTGGCTTTATTACAACTCTGCTCACTTATAGCCAACAATAAACCATCTGTTAGTATACTTATATAATAAAATCATAATTAATTAATACAGAATAAATACCTAATAAAAAATGTTTAGTTACTGGAAGCTAGTTTGCCACAATTGTGTGAATAATTATGTACATCACAAACGGTTGTTCCTACACTGCAAGTTTTTCTTAATTTAGCAAAAAACCAACCTCAACTTCTATCTGATTATGTTCTGAAAATAAAAAAAGCTGCAGAATGTAATCCAAATGCTCTGTGTATTGCTGCTCAAGTTTTATCTGCTGTTGGAAAAATAAATAAGGTCTTGTTATTATTAAATTTGATTTTAAAGCCACGAATAAAAGTACAGTGTTATTTTTTTTAAACAGACAAAAGCACAAGAAGCATTAAATTTTATTATGGATCATTTAGCTAAAGTGGATCGAGGAAGTCAAAGTCTATTAGTACGAGAAGCTACATTTCTATGTTCTTGTTTTCCAATTTTATTTACTGATAAAATATTAGACGGAGTTATACAAATAAGCCGAACCACAAAGTAATTATGGAAATATTTTGTTAGTATTAAAAATATACTGTTTAATTCTAACATGTGAACAATAATTGTTTTCTTCAGATCTCATGTAAATCAAATATCTGGTGGAATAACTATAGTTAAAGTTGGTGGAAATCAATCACCAACTAATTCAAATATTACTAGAACAACCCAAACAGATAATAATGGAAGAAATTCAAGGTTGATTTTAGTGCAGTTTACATTTAATTTGAAAGTTTTCATAGAAATAATGAAATTTTTTTAAAATAGAATTGTGATTACGCCCAGACCTAGGTTAATGGCAGATAGTCGTAGTACTGGAAGATTACAATCCTCAAACGCTCATCGTAGTATGACACGCTTAAATGCAGGTAAAAAATATATTTATTTATATATTGTAAAAAAATTGTGCTTAAACTTAATTTATTAAATATAATTTTTAGCATCTGGTAGTAGAGTTGGATCAGTTGGAGGTTTGCATAAAAGCATGACTAAACTAAGTTCTAATCAAGTTTGTATTGCTAATACATCAAACCGTAATAAGCCTTCTACAACTAAAATATCGAGTGGTGGCGTAACAGTTACTACACCTTTGTAAGTTAATGTACCTAAATGACATTACTTATTTTAAAATGAATCTAAATTTTAAATGTATTAAATTGTTTAAGAGGAACTGGAAGTATATTAACTACAAACTTCAATTACAGTACAAACTCTAAAGATTCTTTAGCTAATTCAGTCAGTCAAACTTTGGCTGGGCGTGTGCAAAACTCGGTATCTCGACCTTTAAGTACTGCTGGAAGTTCTCCTTTAAATCAAAGTTTAACTTCTCAAGGACCTATCCAATCAAGTGGCCCAAGTCTTAATGTAGACCCTGGTGGAATCAATACAGGCATTTATTCAACTGTGACTCCAAGGCGAAGTCACAATACGAGCGTTACAATAATTAATTCAAGTGTTTCTCAAGTAACTAAACAACAAATTAAATAATTCTAATCTTTAAAGGAAAAAGGAACCTACCTACTTATAAAATCAGACTCGTATATTTTATATTATTTTTATTAAAATCTTAAAAACTTTTTTTATGTGGGTTAATTAATGAGATAAAGTAAAATAAAATATAAAAAATTGAACTAGATAATATAAAATTATAACATGCATTGAAGGTATTTTAAGAATTGGTGGGGAGAAATTTAAAATGGATTTAAAAATTCACCTGGGAACTTAACTAGTGAGATTTCCATGTTATTCATAAGAGTCTGATTTGATTTGAATGATAGGTGTCCTGTGTCTCACAGACTCCCTCTGGTATATTTACATGCTGACAGTTTTATTGGGTTTTCAGTGGCTGGTTGTTGATGATTGTGTTCAAGATTGGTAGTGGTTGGACATTTTTGGTTGAGATGTTATGTTTGTGGGTCAGTTGTTTGTTTGTATATTGTAAATCCCTTGTAGTGGGCAGGGTGTGGTCTTTGCTGGAAGATCTGGTAATTTTGTGCAGAAGGTGAATATTCAATTTTCCCCATATTTGACACACATAGTAATTTATGCAGTTTGTTCTGGGGTAGCCATAGATTTGGTTATTTTGATATTGTGGTAATTATTGGTATCGGTTTTTCTGCATTTATTTTTGTATGAAAAAAGAGAGGTGGTGGAAAAAATGTTGCTATTACTTCCTTCTATTGAGATTAATATCAGTAACAACGTGTAGTGTTTTTGTTTGCTGTTGCTAGATCAATATTAATTTTCAAAAATGATAAATAAATAACTTTTTCCATGTAAGGTTATAATGTCTTACTGTTTTCATACTATTTATGTATTTTATTTTATTTTAGAGAATAAGTGTATTTGAACCATATCCAATGAGAGATACTATGCAGCATTTCTGTGAGAAACATTTAGATAAAATTAAAGCTTATATGGAAAAAGTTTCAGTTAGAATTCCACCTCCTGCCAAATGCACAATTGAAGGTTTGTATTTATTAACTATAACTTAGATTATTATATGTTTAAAAAAATGTTCTTTTACCCAACATTTAGAAAGAAGAGCAAAAAAGACAGCGAAACTACATTTTGCTTGTGAAGGTAGAGGTGAGCATTGCCTCTATAATCGTGGTTTATTTACTGTACGTACACGACATCCTCGTGTTTGGATTCATCTTATGTTTCTTGCCCTTCAAGCAAGATCATCTTCGGCACTCAGTTCACGTCATCCTTCAGTCAGTGCCTTAAAAAACTGCTGGGATATTCTCAAATGTGAAACTAGGCCATTTCTGACATTGGTAACCTCAGCATTTCCATGTGCCAAAGATCAGGACGCTGTTTTAAATGAACTTCGTAATAGTGGTTACTTTGATGTATTCGAACATTATAATATAAATACTGGTGGATGGGGTTGCTTCTTATGTAATCATCCAGAACGGGCAGTTGGTTTTTTGCAAGATAGTCAACCAGTAATTGAAGGTCAGCTAAAAGAAAAAAAAGGAAGGTGGAGAATATTTAAAAGATGGAGAACAAGATATTTTACACTGTCTGGAGCACATCTCTCTTACAAAGGCTCAGTAAGTCTATACTTAATACTTTTTAAATATTATTTAATCTATTCATTGTTTACTAAAAATAAACACAATGTAAAATGGCAAAATGTATTTCTGTACATCGATTTATTTTATATTTGCATGTATAATAGTTTACATATTGAATATTAAGTTAAAAATTTCCATTAATTCGTAAATCAGAGCAAATTGTTATTATACTCGTAACCTCTTGCCAAACAATCCAAGTGAGTTTTTTCTGAACACTTGTTCGTAGTTATTGAACAATGAATAATTTAAAAAAATTGTTTTGTTTGTTTTTATATATGTCTTTAAAAGGAAATACAATAATCAGAATATGATTAGTCTACCATTTTCAGCATTAAAAAAACATATTTTTTAAGAAAAGTAGGTTTTTGATAAGATTTTTTGGGTATATAATATATCAGACTTAACGCATTTTGAAAAAAAATTGCCATATGAACTGTGTACCAAACTGTAGTTGTGATACATAAACTAGTTATTTTTATAGTCAATAGTTGTGAATTAATTTTATATTAATTGTGAATACATATTATATGTTCATGATTAATAATAATCTTAAATAATATTAATTTATTTTGACTAAGGACTTTATTACTTATGATTTTTGTTGTGCATTTATATAAATTAATATCTCGTTTAAATTGTCCTGTATTATACTATTACCTGTAATTAAATATTTTAACATATTTTTGTTTGTTTTTTGTTAAAGAAAAATGATAAAGAAGGAACTCCTATTGACATTCATCAGATTCGTAGTGTAAAAGTAAGTCGTGGCGCTCGAAACATACCTAAAGCTTTTGAAATATTTACCGGAGAAGAATCTCTTATATTGAAACCTAAAGGTGGTAAAAATGCTGAAGAATGGGTTCAGTGTTTATCTGTTGTTGTAGCACATTCACACTCAAAAGATACCACAAATTCAAGAAATTCAAGTTTAGTCAGGACAACTATATGAACAAATTATTAGTATTACTGAACAAGTCTTAATAGATCAACATGACATTTGTAACGTTAATTAGTAGTATTTATTTTAAGATATTATAATATTATGAATGAACAAGACATCCAAATGGTATGATAGTATTTTAATTAAGCTAGATTTTGACTACCTATTTATATTTTGAAATTTATTAAGAGTATAATATTATTATTACACTAGTCATTTTGACTATTTATATTTTGAAATTTATTAAAAGTATATTATTATTATTAAACTAGTCATATTTTTATTTAAAAAAAATTAAATACATAAACCTACTACTTTAATATACTTCTTCGGAAATCGATAATAATTTGATATCTGATGTGTTGATTTGTTCCAAAACAAAATCAAGAACCACCTGACTAGATGATAAATACGATCACAGGAGAAGGCTAGAAAATTGTTATTTTCTGGTATTATGCAGTGGTCGAATTGACTCAAAATAAGTGGAGGGATGCCTATCATAATTTATGTAGTTCTCATGTATCGTTTTAACAGTCACACAAAATAAGTGGAGGGATAGAACAAATGTGAATTATAACAAAATGGAGGAATGCCATCCCACCGTATCTCCCCTCCCCCACTTCGACCACTGATGTTATGTCTAAAAAAAAAGTTATACCTACCACAGAATAGATTAAACATTGTGTAATGCTGTTATCATTCGTTCAGTATCAGAAAGATTCTAATTTATGATAACCTGGACAAAAATATGTTCACCTATACATTTTTTTTTGCAACATTTATAGAACAATAATATAAAAGGTTAAAGGATTGGGGTGCTTGTTGAAATTATAACCCAGAACTCTAGACAGATTTAAGTTTCTATTTACTCGTCCTTCAGAAACACCAAACATGGTCCATCAGCTTTATGATTCCTCTTTAACTTTGGTCCTCTCTCGGCGAACGTAATTGCGTTGAGCCCATAAGTAAGTAGGTAACTATGGACAATAAGTAGGTATTGAAAACAGTAGTAATGTAACCATTTTGCCTAAACTATGCGCCGGGCAACACTTTATGATTGATCGATATTTGTACCTACTTTAAATTATACATCACATTTTAATCAAGTATTACAGCGATTTTTAGCATAAACTATTCCCTAGATATAAAATGCCCTTAGGTATTAAATATTTTACAATTTTGTATTTTATTATATTTTGATTATAATATAATAATAAAACTCAATATAAATTGGTTGTTATCGAAACTCGCAGTCAAATCCGAAAAAGCTATAAAAACTATAATAAGCCTGGAATAAAGATACTAATACTCCGCTTATAAAAACATTCTCTTTTAACGTCTTCAGAAGCGGATTTTGATTAAATCATTACGCAGTTGTCACATCAGTTGCTACTATAGTGACGCCTAACATGCATGGGTCGTAAACAGCCCAGGAGGCAGCTTCCCGAACTTTTTTTTGGATACTAGATGATTGTTGCAGTGAAGTATATGTATTATAAATTATAATTATGAGAAAAAACCGGAGAATAATTACCCGGTAGGTATCTAATTACTTATTATATGCTATCCTATTTTTCGCATAAATAAGCATTAAATCAATATACTTCATAACTTTATAGAAATATAGAAGATAGTAGGTACGGAATAGTGCTAAATGCTTTAGGTAATTTACTGATGATTGTAATGTACATTAAACTTTATTTACCTATAAACAACACAGGGTGTCTAAGTCTATATTCTATATAAATAAATGATAATAATAATTCATATTAAATGTAAAAAATACCCCGATACCCTTCAGCAATCTGATTAAATTGTCGATATCCTGAAAAATAATTCTCGTTCTATTTACAGACTCACCATAATTACTGCATTGGAAAATAATTTAGGAGTTAAAGAGGATTTAAAATGCTTTCTATTAAAAGAATCGATGAAATTGAAATAAATACTTATAGCATCCAAAGGATCAGCCTGCTCAAACGCTCTGTATGTGGTATGTCATAGGTATATTAGATTCTGAGCGGAGCGATAAATGTATTGATTTTGCAATGATGTGTTTTTTCTTTGTATTTGCGCACACGATAGGAACCTAATCGACATAATCATACTTGTATGAATATTAGCTCCTCCAGAATTATTGTTGTCTATTTCGTTCAAGGTAACTGTAGCTGCAACACTGCACATAATAAATAAGTAATATACCTATTACCATTTTAGATTGTGATATTTGTGAACAAAGATAAATAGTAGGTACTTTTGAGAGGTAAAACTTAAAATGTCCAGAACTTTGCATAATAAAAAAAAACATTGAAATTCAGCAATTTTTAGGCAATACCAGTTTTCGACTAAATCGATATTGTTTTTTGGTGTATTAGAAATAGAAAACCGTCGATACCTACTTGAAATGTAAAACACATTTTTTTTTAGGCTTTTTGAGCTACCTATTTTAGACATAGGTATTATGACATTTTTGATTTTATGTACTTTTTATTTCGATATTTTCGCTTGATCAAGAAGTTGGAAAAATTGAATACAAAGTTGCTCATAAGTTGTTCATATTATATACAATTAAAAAATATCAAAAATACAGTCACTATTTTTTTTGGAAAGCAAATTTTTTAACAAAATTCATAAAAGTTACGGAAATTTGCATTTTATTTTTAGTTAGAAATTCATGAAAATTTTCTTTTTTTATAGTTATTTAAGATTTAAACATTTAAAACAAGATCCCTCGTGTTTTTCTATCCATAACAAAAAACGGTTTACCAGAAATCACATTCATTTTTTATAAGTGTTTGAAATTTTTTTGACATTAGCTATTATATTAATAACTATTTCTCCTGAATCGATTTTTGATATTTTGTTGTAATTAAAAAGAACCAATAACCGTAGATCCTTTAAATGTTGACCAAATGTGTAAATAAGCATTTTCTATACGTAGGTACATGGTAATATTTTGTCATTTAATATTCTTGCAGTTAAAAAATATTAAAGATACATTGGCATGTTTTTTTTTTTTATGAATGCCACTAACATAAATCGGTGAAAGGAGGATGTGGATGGGAGCTCCACCCCCCCCCCCCCCCCAAACGCTACATTGAACATTTATTGCAGGGTTTCAGTCCATGGATATACTGCTTTGATTTTCAACTTAGGTATCTTTTCTGGTGAGAAAATGAATCTAGTTGTTGCATTCAAGAGGTTAGAGCAGCTGAAAATTCCCAATAATTTTCAAAAACGTTTACCAACTATTTACAAATTTATTGTGATTTGTATGTCATAGGTCGTCGTCTCTGTACTATTATTATAATAATTAATAATTATTATGAGTTCCTAGAACCACTATTTATGGTCAAAATAGATACGATCGGATTTTGCCTCCCAGTCGGCGTGTTAATCCTAGCATTCAGTAAATACGCTGGAGACGATGAACTGACCAACCTGCTAAAAACGTCACTGTCTGTTCACCACAACCTAACTTTATATATATAAAATAACAGGACGGCAGGCGCCGGCTGTCAAAATCCAGTCGTCTGTTTGGAATATTTTTTATCGCAATTGAATTTCTGTGTTAAAAAGGGCTTCTGTCTCTTAGGCCCCAGGGCCACCGAGTTTTCGCTACGCCACAATATAATGGTAACCAAACTTATGGTAGTTTCTACCAATGATGCATGTGGACTTGTGGTTTCATGCGTTATCAGACTCTTGTCTCAGTGTTTCATCAACGAGTTTCCACATTTATACCACTGTTACTAACGAAAAAAAAGTAAATAAAGAACCACTTAGACTATACCTAGTACTATTTCAGAAACCAAATTTTCTTTCGTAGAACTTCGGTTATTAACCAATATCATTTTTCTTTTAAAAAAAGTATGTTCGGTTGCCTATTGTATAACGTCTCGTGATCAAGAATTTACTGTCGAAATTAATCCGTACCTATAGACATACCATAATAACTATCATAATATATTATAAGTCTACGTTTACATTTTTTTTTTACAGAGTGACATGTAATAAAGTATTAATTAATAAACTGGACCTCTAGTATCTATTGTAATACTTACAATTGATCATTATTCTATGTAAATTATAATCACCAAGTTTAGAATTTTGTAGTTTTATATAGAAACATATTGCATATAACTTAGATCATATACATGATCTAAGGCATATAAATTATAACTATATAAACATAGAGTAGTTTTATATCGTACACAGAATGTTTGTAATCATATTCTTTAAATATATGCGATCTCGTTAATTTAAAAATAGTAGGTAATTTAATTGTCATCACTAATCAGTAAATATGGTTAAATAGGTACCTAAAATCAGAAGAGAACAGAACAATTGAATACGTTTTTAGAGTTTTTTTTTTTTTGTTATGCTTAATATCTACATTTATATACGGTGCATGTAAAATTAATGAAGTTAATTATTAATACATCATTCTGAAAATGAACTTATAAATTACAATTAAACGGTTTAAACTTAACATTTGTCCGGAGCGATATAGCCCTGGTGAAAGGGGGAGACTACCGGCTACCTAAAATATAATTCGTCTAACGTTTAAACTCTAACAACTTACAATTTTTTAACCAACCTACCAATGACTGAATGGAAATTATTTGGTCTACTAATTCATACAGGAATGATGTGTTATGTGTACATCGAATGTAGTACCTATAACAACCACATCTCAAACAAAAAGCCGCATATTGACAATATTTATGTACCGTATTCAAGCATATATTTATTTTCTATGTAGAATGTACATATATCGAATATATTGTCTATTTGTCTACGATTGTAAATATTAAAAATTACGCATAGCTTACAACAAGAACAGAAAGGTAGGGGAAGCAGGGCCGGATTTAAACATTAGGGGGCCCAGGGCAAAAATACTTTGGGGCCCTAAATGGTCCATAACAAAAATTGCATACCTACCTAAACTTATACCATAAAATATATTTGTAGTTACAACTAAAAATAACTATTTATGTTAAATAAATTGAACAAGTCATCAGTAATATATTATTTATTTTATTAATAAAATATAATCTAAGGCTAAAATGTATTTAATTAAATATATTTATTAATAAACTGTACCAAAAATTTGTATTTATATTTTTAATAAAGAAAATAGTCAATTAAAAGTTAAGATTATTATTACAGTCATTAACCTATAATGTTTACATAGAAAATGGAATATTATAAATTGCATACTTTTCTTGATTTCTTTTCTGCAAAGTCATCTATAATATCATCAAATTATCCAACACATCACTTTCAATGCTCATAACTGATAAAAAGTTCAAACGATCTTCATTCATTGTAGTTCGTAATCTATTTTTTATAATTTTCAATCTTGAAAATGTGCGTTCACTACTACAATTGGTGATCATAATTACTAAATACATGCGTAATGCGATTTCAACATTTGGAAAAGCTGATATTACGTCTTTTTCAATTAAAGTTTTGTACATAAAATGCTCATTACTCATTTCTGCTGGCTTGGAATAAAGTTTTATAAATCCAGAATAATGAATTATTTCAACACACAACAATTCGTCTAAGTCGTCATCGTATACAGCTACACGTTTTTTAGCTGCTTCTTGTGGTTCTTCGTTGCTAAGATTATTTAATTGTCCAAAAAATCCAAAACGATCACATATTACTTCATATGCTTTAAGTCTTTGACTTATTGCTGATGACATTTGATCTATAACAGACAAAAAACATTCTACTTTAAATTTTTCTGAATGATTTAGTTGTGAATAAGGCCTTTGCCATAATCTAAAGGATTCAATCGAATATTAATTTTTACGAGATCGTTTTTTATTATCATTATATTCATTTGATTTTGAGATGATTTTGCCTTTTTTCTCAAACATTGAAAAACCATCAAGTTGAGCATCAATAAAGTACTTTAATGACTTGACAGATGCAACAGCATTATTAAGGTCTAATGCGGGAGCTTGAAGAATTTTATTAGTAGCGTTGAAACGATCCAGAATTTCGTTCCAAAATGCACAATATATACCTGTTTCTAACTTACACATCTTGTTGTATAGTCCGTTTGCTTCATCACGTGTTTTTGGTAACTCATTTAAATTATTAGATATACTGTAAAGAGTAGATTTTATTTGAGAATATCCATGAAATAATGCTTTGGTTGCGTCAGATCGACATGACCAGCGAGTGGTAGAAATTCTTCAAAACTATATTTTTTTTTTAAATATAGTTTGAGAACCCAAATTGCAAGTTTTTATATTTCTGATTCGAGTCTCGGGGGCCCCTAAAATTTGGGGGCCCGGGGGCCGGGGCATATGCCCTTAATGTCCCCCGTCAAATCCAGCCCTGAGGGGAAGCTTTTCAGCAAAGTAGTATTTCTACATTTTATATTCATCTTCACAAATTGTTTTCTAAAAGTTCTATTTCAATATGAATATTTCGAATGAAATAAATACCTAGCTATTTACTATTTAGTAACAATTTTGATAGATTTTATTGTTATTGATTGTTTGAAAGCGTGGATCAGGGTACATAATTAATTTGATTATCATATAATTATTAATCTAATTCTAATTAAGCTAATATAACTCAAAATATTTAACACGAGAATGTTGGCATATCTCTGAATAATTATTTGACGAGTTCTTTCATTCTCTGTAAAGTCTTTTTCTTTAGGCCGGGCGCACACCAAAGCAGTGCGGTTGCAGCGCAAAAAGTTGTTACATGCTGTGGGCAATGGCTTTTTCAGTGTACCTATTGCTTGGATCATAATGATATGATCTAGTATAGGATTCATGCTCAATTTTGTTTTAATTTCTGTAATAAACTAATAACTATAAATATGAGAAACCTTGTATTAAATGGTAAATAATTGAAATTAACTTTAACCATAGCGAAAGTTGCAACAGTGGAATATCGATTCACAACGATGACACTGTTTAAAATTACCTTAACGGCATTTTGAAATTTTTCTACTTTAGTAACTATATTATGTACGCAAGTCTTACGCCGGGAACCCCTAATCAAACGTATTTTATTTTAAAGTTATAAATATACCGTAATCTATATATCATATAATTCAGATTAATAACGACCGTGTAAGGAACCCATTACAATTATTCAACTTTTCGATACTGGACTTGAATCGCAAAACCTTAATGATACGATTGTTAATAAAGATTAAACGTAGACACATTACACAAGATATCATTATTATGCCGGAGATCTTTGCTTATCTGTGACCACCTGTGGTAGAGAGGGTATGAGCAGACCGAGTCGCTCTTCTTGATAGAACACTGAACGCCTGAACGAAGTTTTCTTTCAGTACAAAAATAGCCACCGTTCAACAATTATTTCTTTCGGACAGTTGCGTTGTTAATTATTATATATTCAATTATATATAAGTATATATTATTGGTACGTTATAGTTATAGGTATTATATTTTTTAATACGCTGAAATCGTAATTTTCTCCGAAAAACAGGTAAGCCATGATAATTATAATAATATTCAGACGGGTACGTGGGTTTTCTCGAAATACTGTTAGAATATAATTAACTGACTCAATTCATGTGAAAATTAGAATTACCTATTTACTCATTGTTATGTAAATATTGATATTTGATAATCATTTAATATTATAATCGTTATTTTCAACACAGTCCATAAACAATTGATAGGTTGGTTGTTTATAGCTATTATTATTTAATATTTATTGTGTATTTCGATTTTTGATTTGTTTTTAAGTTGGCAATTTTAACTAAAGTTCAGTCTTTTTAACCATAGTATTCAAATACGACATAATATTTCAAACCTATTTTATCTAAAAACGAAAAATGACTTTTTGTGTATATGAAATGAAATCATTTTTTGATACACTAAGTCACTAACTAACAAGTGACTTTATTTTATTAATATGATAATTATTAGAATTTACAAAACTTTTTGCTTGATTTTTTAAAAATGATGTTAAGTGTAATAATAAAGTATAGTTTGAATTATTAAGATTATTGGTTGTTTTTTAACAACTGTATTGTAAGTAACATTAAATTATGATACAATAATAATCTGTTATAATACCAAAAAAAATGCATATGTTTTGAATTTGAAATTTAAATTTAAGTGGATGTTTTAATCAAGAGGACCCTTATTGCCTTATATATTGTCTCAGTCTTACATACACGTACAACAAATTGCATGCAGATATATCAACTTTGTGTTGTTTGTTTCAAATTTCAGTAGACGATAATCAATATCATAGCGAATATCAGATATATTATCGAATTTAAAGGTAAAAATATTATCCTAGTCCTTAGACATCGCGTTGGCTTTTGTCAATATTTAAATTTGAAAGCGAGTTATAACCACGTAAAACATATTATTATAGTTTAAAAATTGTTCAAATTCATTTTATACTTTAAATATCAATAAAAGGTTACGAGATGTCCTAGATAATATTCTAAAACTAAATTTTATAATAGGTTAATTCACCCTTAAATTAAAATTAACGACACAGAAATGGATTCTACTGAACACAAATTTTGTCATAGTGAATAAGTTTGTAAGACAAAAAAATCACATTATATTATTACAGGTGTAACGTAACTTAAATGTATTAATGATCAAAATATTATGATTTTACTTTTGTAAGATTTTTGTTGTTATTAATATTATGTTTTGATTTCCTTAAAACTAATTACCATTTAATTCTTATAATCATATTATATTTTGAATAATATGTAGATTGTAGGTATTGAATATCGATTTAAATTAAATTTAGTAAGTCATAATAAAATAATATAATATTAAACAATTTGTACATTTAAATTTAACCTGATATACGTAACATCTTCTATTAAGAGTGCCTACGAGTTTTAAAACGAAATCATATTGTTATGAAATATTTAATCAATAAATATATAATAACTGTACTTAATAAATGTTTAAAAACTATCACACCTATTAAAAAAATCGAGCTACCTATTATTATTATTATATAAATATAAAATAGGTACTTGGGAATCTAGTTTTTCAGATCGAAATGAACACTTGAAGTATTATTTAATACGTTCATTTTCCAAGCGATATTATAGAAAGATCGGAACGCGTTACGTGGGCAGGTTAAAGCGTTACGCTACTTAATAAACTAAAATATTAAATATTTTTTAAAAAATAGTTTTACTTAATACAAATACAGGTACACATTCTTGTAGTTCTAATCACCCTCGGTTTCTTTCAGAGTCTGGAATATAATATATTTAATGCACTTAAAATTAGGAATACGACCATGAAAAATACTTTTTGCGAATAATGTGTTTTAGTATCTTAGTATTAAAAATTATAATATTATTAAACAGAGATCTTCTATTTTTCTCGTTATTTTTAGTACACAGTAGACACCTATACCGTATGTCAATAAATTGCCATGATAATAAGACACATTTTATATTGAAGATAAATTTTTGTTAGAAACATATTTGTTGTTTAAAATGTAGATTTAGGTATAAGCAATCCTATCAACTGCAATAATATTTTATAAACTATTAATTATTAATTATTATTGTATTACCTACCAAAATAATATTATAACATACTCAATAAGAAATATTAAATAACATAGGTAATAATATTCATTGATTGCATTAGGTAGGTATATAATACATTGTTTCATTAAAAACTAATAAATTATACTATAGGTACCTAATAATAAGTATGTTTTGTGAACACACAACACAATTAATATATAAAAATCAAAAATATGTAATTGTTTCTATCTAACTATATCTGTTAAAGCTCTCGTGGCGTAGGTATTAATTATGAATTATTAAGCTTGTCTGATGTCTATTGTGGTAAATACTAGTAGTTAGTAGTTACTATATAGTTTTCAATGTTTCCATCCATTCAAATGATTAAATTTTTCGACTCATTTTATTTGAAATCAAATCTTACAAGCTACAAAAAATTATCAAATTATTGTTTGAATGATGAGTATTTAATATATATTACTTGCATTTGGGGAAATCCGAGTATAATTAATGTTAAGATAATTGAATTTACTTTTGACATTGGTTATAATAGTAAATCATTATATAATCTAATCTGGTGTTAAACTGATTAGGTAGTAGATACTTAAGTAGGTACAACTATATCAGTGATTAGTGATTACAAAAGGTAATGCGGTAAATCATGTATTTGTCATTTCACGTTATCATTTATCACAAATTTGAGACTTGTAGTTCCCATAACAGAAAATGTGCATTTTAACCCTATTTTTAGGAACCTTTTAGTATTTAATTACAGCTTGCAACTTAGAACTATTATATCTATCGACAATTTGTTACAAATTCTCTTGTTTTCCTTAATAGTTTTATAAAAACAATGAGGTATATTATAGTCTATAGCTTAGATCATATTATAAATAGTATAATATGATCAAAGGTCTATTGTGTCCGAATATCCCTGTGTCCTGGATATTTCAATTCCCAAAATAAAAATAAAAACTCATATACTTTTATAACAGTATTGATTATAAAAATATTTTGAGATGAAATACGTTGACTTTTTCCACATATCTTACTAAATGTATTTCATTTGAAGAAATTTTGATCATTTAAATATTTAATACAAAAAAAAATGTTTGTTTATGTACATTAGACTATGTATTCTTTAACTATTTAAGTTTAAAAAATAAATTTTTAATAAATGTTTCTTTAATTTTACTGATATTTTGTGAATTGACTTAATCATTTTCCTATTATCCATTAAACCCGTGCAAAGTAGTTATTAAACATATTATGTATATTGTAGATTTATATATTTGATATGTTGAAACAATTAATTAATTCAATATTAATCTATTAGCACTATAATTTGTAAAAATTATCGAGTGTAATAAATACTGTAACTCATAGCCCATAGGTATCAATACTACATAATATATTTTATATTTCTGTAAAACTATTTTTAAGGACAATTTAGTTTATACATTTATTAATACCTTAGACACTATTCATTCGATTTTTTTTTTTAAATACGTGAACAGTCAAAGTTAAAAAAGTGTGATTCTTGTTGAAAAAAGTGGAAATTGCTGTTTGTAATTTGTATCACCTCATAAATAGCATAACGAATAAACTAGTTTAAAATACCGCCTATAAGTAAAAAATTCAAACTAAACACTAACTTTTGACTTACTTTTATATCATTTATTTTTAATTTTGATGACAATGATGGCGTATGATTAATTTCGATATAACCTTTTCAATTTGGACTACAAACCAGTAAATCAAACACAATTAATATATTCATGCCCTTGTTTTTTTGTTTGTATAAGATTTATATTTCAATTATATTTACCTCATTATGGATTATGGACCTTTAGGTAGGTAGTGGATACACGAAATTCTGTTATGCATATTTTGAAGGTCGAGCATAATACAACTGCATATTCTCTTCAAGTAATCTATTTTACGCATTAGGCATACACTTTTTGAAAGTATTTTAATCCCAGTAAGATCGATAGCAATTATGTTCTATGCTCATCAAAGTTATGTATAAGAAAAATAATAAATTAATTTCTCGATATACCTAGGTTTATTTCAAAAATATAAATCTTATCTTTGATTATTTTTAAAATTCCTTGCTTGCATATTTTTCTAGTGCCCAGACGCCTAATTATAAACTATAATATTATGTATTGTATTGATTTAATTTTAAATAAGACGTGTGTGTATGTTTACAGACGTTATAATGAGCGACCGTAGCAGATTCGCGTTCGGCAGCCAGACCCAAGCGCCCCAGTACCAGAACCGATGCGCTCTGTGCTTGACCACGGACGATGGGAACGCGGCGGGTGTCTGTCAGCACACCGCCAGCGTCGAGTCGGCACTGCACTATCTGCGGAATTACGGGGCCCCGACGAGTCCGCCGTACGGCCCGTCGACGTACCACGGCCAGGACGCAGGCCAGGCGCCGTCTGCACACCCGTCGTTCGGCGGCTGCTCTCCGCCCGTCTCGCCCAACTACTACACGCTGGCCGAGTTCCTGTTGCGCATGAACCGCATGCAACAGGAGAACAACGGTGGCTACCATCACTTGCGCCAGCCTCCGATTTCGTCCAGACCGCCCAAGCCCAAGTCCGAGATGGGATGCCTGCGCGAGTGCGCGTTCTGCAAGAGCAACGGCGAGACGGCCGAGTTCTACAAGTCGCACTTCCTCAAGGACCCCGTCGGCCGAGTCAGATGCCCGATACTGCAACGGTACATTGACGTGACTTTGAGTAATTAATCTTTGGTGGTGTGTAGGGAGAAGTGGCGGGGAGGGTGCGAATGACAATACATTTTTAACGTTGGTATTATTATTTTTTACCCGGTGCGTCTAATGGTGGGCAGCACCTGGTGAAATACTTCCACCCCTCAAATAATTTACCGATTATAAATCTATACAATGTTCACCATTGTAAAGCAGTCCTTGAAATTTGACAATAATTGTAAAATTAGTGAAAACATGACAGTTCATAACAGTTAGTACTATCCATATTACAACGAGGAAAACTTTAAGTACACTATTATTATTGAATGACGAATTATTAGTACCTAACATAATATTTCGGGAAAAAAAAAATAATATTCAATGAATTAGAGCTAATAACAGGGTAGAGGACAATTGCCTCCCAAATTCTGCCAGATTACACCCGTTCAAAACCTTTTATCCTACTGAGTTGGTGCCTTCTGGTCTAATTTTCTTGGCGTTGCTAAGGGGGTAATGTTCTTTCCTTCCTTTTTTTTTTTGTCTTTTTATTACTCAATTATTTATTTAGTACCTCAAGAGGGAATAGGGTAAATCATTTCTATTAGGAAATTAATATTTTAATATTAAGACATGATGATATTTTATTTAATATTATATTTATAATTTATGTTATTTAATTCATTTATAGGTATCAATGCCCGTTTTGTTATGCAACTGGAGAGAACGCCCACACAAGGCGTTACTGTCCAAAAAATCCAAACAAAATGTGTTTTATCAAAGGAGATCAACTTGTTAAGCAAAATTTGCAGTGAAAAATAAATATTATTGTTTGTATGTTTAGTTAATATATTTTAAAATAATTGTTTTGGATTTAATAATTATAGTAATTAATAATGAAAATGTTATTAATGATTTTATGAATAGATAACAACAATTATATTTAAAAATAATTTTACTTAGTTTAATATGATATTATCAGTATAAATTTGAATTTTATTTTCTGATTGATTGTTAACAACCTATCTCCTATTGTTTTTAAATTTATTAATTTGTCTATTTGCATGAATGAAAATATTATTTCAAATATTAAAAATTATTAAATATTAAATTTTACATTATTGCTTGTTATGGTATATGCATATTTATATACATATTAATTGTGTTTTAAAATAATAAACAATTTGAATGATCATAATAACAAATAAATCTACTGTATTTCCCATTTTGTGTATATTAAATTACAACAATGTATTCTAAAAAAATAAATAAATATGTACTCAATTATTAAATATGATGTTAATAGTTTTTTCATGTAAAATATGTTACCTATTTGTTGCAACCAAATTAATCAATTTGTCGTTTTTTATCACTACTTTAGATGTACTTTTATAACTTCTGACTACAACTAAAGAAATATTAATCGTGGTCTGATCAAACGCCACACTACAAGTGACTAATGGGTAGGTATTTTTTCTGTGCAATACTGTCATTCCAAATACACTATTAAGTATAGAAAATATGACTTACTTTCTAGTTTTCAATCTTAATATCTTAAAAAAATAATTTTAATGTGTATCATTATATCAGGGCTATCAAAATGGCACCATGACCATATGCAACCAGAACTTCACTAAACAATATATTAATGTGAGAAAATAAGGGATTTTCTAAACTTGTTATGTAGTACAAACTATATAATGTTTTCGCATATTCATTATTACTTTTTATAGACCAGACTACCACAGTATAAAACTAACAATATTATTTTATGTGTTGACGTGTGATATTCTTGTAAAACCTAGTGGCAACCCAAAATAAAATATAAATTACTAAAATGTTATACATAATTAAATGCATTAATATCTTTAGATTTTGATTTGTGATTTGATATATGAAATTATTTCATTGATAAAAGAATTCAAAATATACTATATTATTTTTTAGCCTATTGAATGAGATTCTACTGAAAAATTGAAAAAAATTGCTAGTCAAAAAAGTCTCAAAGCTTTGACAGATGGACTCAATTCTTCACTTAATATTTTTGAAATGAAAAATCAATCAATATTTATTAAAGCTTAAGATCTAAAGAGTATCAATTTCTAATTCAATAATATGATATACCTGTCACATTGATAAATGATCTACCATCTAAAAACAACTTAAATGCTCATTTGTATATTAAATTTATATATATTTATTTTTATAAAAAATGATTTAATTAAAAAATATTATATTATTTAAGTATCACACATTTGTTCTATTCCCCAGGCACTGCCCAGAGCATCTCTTTTCCACATTTGTAAAGCTCTTCTAGTCTTGCTTGCAACGTTCCATCTTCTTCAAGTGTTTTATAACATTGATATAACTGCAATGCTGCTCGGGCATCTTCTACAGAGTCATGTGTAAGAGATTGAATTTTATTGCCTAAAAAGTGCCAGGCCAAAAACCGCAACGATACATTCCGTTGATGTGGAAGTCGGAATAAAGCTACAGTATCAATTACTTGTTCAGGTGGTACCATCAAGTTGATCATTCTACAAACATTAATATAAACATAATTATATAAGATACATGTTGTAAAAATATAAAATAAATTATGAAAGTTAAAGAATGATTTTCAAATAACTTCAAATAATGTTTACATGCCAACAATTTTATAAATTGTAACTTTTTATGTTTCTTAAAATCAATAACATGTAAACTGTACTTATTGAAAAGTTATTTGAATGTATTAATACAAAGAAATTTAGTGTTAGATGGTTAGATTTAAATGTTAGTCTTTATAATTAGCTTTGATAAATCATTTAGCTCACAAAAACATTTCTAACCTAAAATCATTATATAGACCATGGCCAATAAACTTAATTCCATTGTCAACCAAATATCGCAATTTCATATATGTGGACTTGAGAGTGGTAAGATTTTTAGAACTTTTACTAATGTCTAAATCACCAGGATTGATACCGGAAAATTTTGTAAGGTAATCAACAACTTGCTCTTGAGTTGAAATATAATCATCTATAAAAGGTTTGCCTTCATTTGGACCTTCACTGTAAACATTCAAGTATAGAAAATAAATATCATTCTAAAGAAGAGATTTAAAGTTACTTACCCTCGAATACATGATATTCTTGCCACTGCCATTTGCACAGGTTTTATTGTGGCTAATCGACCATCACTTCTTAATTCAGATTCTTCTTGATTAAGAGTAACAAATTCTGCATCAATAGCTACTAGTTCACCTAAAAAATTATTTTTTAAACATTAAACCATGCATCATTATTTTTTTTTTAAATATTTCTCATAATTGTACCTGATTTAGGAATTTCTTCATCTAAGATAACATCATTACTATTTGACGAAGAATTCAAATAAACACTTTCAGTGAACACTTTAGCTGTAATAACAGGGTCACTAGCATCATTTTCAATATCAATAGTAGCTTCATTATTTCTTGACACCCAGTATAATATACAGGGAATTTTCCAATCCAAACTAAACCAAACAGCTTCTTGTCCAATGACTGGGGATACACTAATGTCATTGAATATGTACCATTGAGATGATGGGTTACTAGCTAATATGTGTTCATGATAAGCTTTGCCCACATTCACTATAGATACAAGATTTTTACGATCTTCATGTATATAGCATACAACCGCGTGTAAATCATATATATTGGAAGATTTACAATCTACTTCATCGACTTCATAATTAAATAGTTTTAATTCTCCATCGGGCTCAAGTTCAGCCCTGATACTCAATGGCAGCCATGAGTGTGTGTAATATAACTGAGACAAGCTCATGGAATTATTTATTTCTGGAACTAAAGTAATACATTTTTTTATATATTGATCAAATAAAATTAACCCTCTACCTAGAAAATCACTCATTCTTATTACAAAGGATGTCTAATATTCAAAAATATTCAACTTCAGAAAAATAAAACTACAATGAAGCCACGTCCAAATTCAATTTTAAGCCGTGTCTAAAACAACAATATACCTGTTTCTGTCTAGTTATTTATTCCTTTTGTTCCTGACAAGGTTAATGATATCCCTTCATAGGCGTTAAGATAAAAAAATGTCAGAAATATTGTCGTAAACAGAGGTTTCCAAATTTCGTATACACAACTTTAGAAATAAAGCAAAAAGTTATGGTCACCTCGGAATATGTTACCAAACTCACCACAAAAATCTTATATTCTCAAATAACTCAAACTAAAAAATCAATCTACACACCGAAATATTTAAATAGTCTAATAACATCCCAAAAATATATCAATCCAGCTATCACTCTTTATAAATGACCTCAAGTCCCTCGTAAATCTACTTGTCACCCTTCTCACTAAATTATAAATAAAATTCTTTAAAAAATTACATTCAATTCAATTCAGCTAAATAAAAAATGAAAAAAAAAACAATTATCATAAAATAAAAATGCTACATAATATGTATTTTTTATCAATTCCAAAGTGATACTAATAAATAGCCTTCTATCATTGCATGTTACTCATATTATTGTGAATATTTTAAATTGAATTAATTAAAAAATATGTTGATTAATTTATAAAATTAAATATAACACTATAACAATGATTTTTAGTACCTGCAGGCACTTGGCCAGGATGCATAAATCGACAACTATGTCTGGTACAATTGGTTCCATATCGACAAGGTTTATTGAACGATGTTGGTGTACTTGGTGCTGTTTTTTGGTCACCAGATTTTGAGACAGCCTGTTTTATCAAAATGTCCATTTGTTGTTGCCAAAAATCTTTGTTCTGTTAAACATTATGGTATTTAATAGTTAATATGCACGCCTTTAGAATATTTATTAAAAATGTATTAATAAATTTAGAGTTAAATATTTACTTAATACAAGCTCAATAAGGACATTATTTAGTTTTTAAAACAACCAGATGTTTTGATATGTAGGTACCGTATCATAGGCATAACTAAGGGGGAGCTCGGGGGGCTAAGTCCCTCTAACTTTTATTTTAGCCGCACTTGTCATCATGTCCATACTCCCACCAGTGGTAGCCACATTTATACATTTTAATTTAAAAAAAATATTATTTTGTTTTATTTTTTATTAACATCTTTTCCTGACAACCGAATCAGATTGTATATTATTTGATTGCATTATCATCGTACATTGTCTTTCATAAGTACAATGGTAATGTACTTGTGTCTGATAGTTTATATTTTGGAAAACTTGCGTAGAACCTTATTTTACATTTCAATCCTTAGCTATAAAATTTGAACATTTAATACCATTTTTAACTACAAAATCATTTTTCAATTAGAGAAATTTTGTCAAAATTTGAATTTTATAAGTTTAAAACGAAAACGTGCCTATGTATTTTTAATATTTTTCAATTGATATTTTAATAATATATCAGGAGCCTTGTATTATAATTTTTCAATTTTTTGACCCAAACAATTAAGTTTAGTTGATGTTCATAGAAATAACATGTCCGTAGACAGCCCAAAACGAGTCAAAATATTGCAAAAAAATAGGAAAATCGCTATATGAGAAATCTAGTGAATAATATCCAATATTGGAAAAATTTCAACTTAAAAAAAACACTCATAAAAATTTAATTTGACTTTCGGGAAGAATTTTTATTTTTTTGATAAAGGTTGAAAAACTTATAAGATTTCTATCTTGTATTATACTTTGAAATCTTAGATATGAAAAGATAAGTTTTTATGAATTTATAACTTAAAATAATTTGCAAATTTTCATGATTTTTAAGTACTTTGTTGAAATTTGAAATTCAGATGCCCATTAAAAATTATTGTGAATGTACACTCAACTTTTTTTTTAATTCCCACGACCAACAATTTACGAGGTACCTTGTAGTAAATTTTCAAATTTTTTGAC